TATGTTTGAAGCACTACCGGCTGTCCAGCATTTCAAGGCTTATTTAGTGTAGTAATGTAGATGTACAGCTTTTGTCCTGGTAACTTACATTGGAAGAAGAAATGTTAACCACTGAACAAATGAAAAACTCGTCTCCTTCAACAAATACTGTGTTTAGAAACAGCTTGGACAGAACTCTATAGCCTCTTGGATTCCAGACTTTTGGTATACCAGCACAGACCGTGACTGTGGAAGCAAAGATCTTATTTCTGCTCTTCAAGCATTACAGGCTTTCTGTATAGTATAGTATAGTATATAGTAAGAGGTATGGTAGCACAGATATGTTGATCTCGTCCTGGTGCCAAAACTTCTTTTCCATCATAGGCTACTGAACTAATACAATAAAATAAATACATAGTTTTTTAGAAGGCACAAACAAAACCAACTCACACTCCTCTTATGTCATCCAAATTACAGTTTATTTGTTAATACTTACGTAATTTGAACATAGTCACAAGGAATTTTTGAATTCCAGCCCTCCAAAAAGGCATCTTCTCCAGCTAGTAATAGTGGGTGTGTATAGAAATGTATGTAAAATACCTGTGTCTGTGGATGTAATATTATTTGTATGTAAAATTAAGGAATGTAGTTGTTAATGGATGAGTGTAACTGTTTCAATGCATTTCATGTTTTTGAGGAACTGCTTCTATAAGTAGTGGATTCTGTGTTTGAAACTGGTCTTTTAAGTTTTTTTTTTATTTTGAAGATTTAGATCATCTAGGTGTTATGCTATTGTATGTATTTGCTCAGTAGAATGTTCTAATCTAATAAACTGTTACTGTGTTTACTGAAAAAATGTGTTTTCTTCAGGTATCTAGAATTGTGATTATATGCAGTGAAATCTGTAATGTAATTAAAAGCGGAACAAACAAATTGTTAATGATTTGTTCAGATCTTGTATTTGACTACTTCTCTTTTGATTACAGATTCTTACATGTTTACTGATATAGCCATTTGTATATTTGAATAAATTCTGTTTGGTAATGTTTAGATATTTTCCTTAGTTTGTGTTTTTTGCTGTATAGTCTTTTAAGTCTGGCTCTTTATTAAGGATAGCACTTAAACATATGTGCTGAGTCTTTCAGCATGTGTTAAAGCCAATGTTTATCTTTAAAATTGGTGGTCCATAAGTATTTCTTGATGCTTGTCCCAGATGCATAGTAATTATTTTGCTTTTGTATGGTTTGTATTACAGTTAGTTATTTAAAGGCATGTCTAGCTGACTAAAGTGAGGAAAGCTTGGCTTAAACACGAAATAGTGTAGAACGTCCTCTGTTGTAGTGGTGCATATGTACCTGGAGCAGGATGTAGGCCACAGGAGAGAAATAGTATTTGGGGGACAGGCAGTGCCTTTGAAATAAGATTTCTGCAGAACTGTTTGTAAGCCTGCTGTGAAAACGAACCGTTCCTTTTAAGGAAATTGAATGGAGAATATCAAGGACAGTAAATTATCAACTTCTAAATTAATTCAGATGTTATGAGTAATTGCAATTTACTTAATCTTTCCTGAGTCCGAAAAAGCAAAATAAATATTTGCCTCTTTCTGAGACTTTAATGCAAAAGGAAGTGGTACTTCAGAAAGAAGTTATGTTATAAAAAAACCAGTGGTTTTACTTGCAGCTTCCTTTGAAGCTACTATTCTAATCCTATGTGTTTATCAGGCTACATTTATTATTCAGGACTAAGTCCATGGCTAACCTGATAAATGTGTTTTTTGAATAATAAACATATAATTGCATTTCAGAGTTCCTGTGGTAATTCAGGAATACTTTTTGTAAGAATCCACAAATAATCAAATACGGCAACATTTTGTTAACCAAGTTCTATAGAGGCTTCATGAAATTTTCTGTATTTACATACTTGAATTACTGCAACCAGTGTAGACAGCCAGCTTGTAGGTGTCTAAACCTTCAATGCGATAACTATTCTGTAGTTGTCAAGTCATAGCATCTTTTACCCCTCAGTCTGAAATGTAAGCCACTTCTTTAGGAGCCTCCCAGTAGATACCCAAGTAAGTCCTTTTTGTGTATAAGGAGCCAAAATATACATCACCAAATAATAATAACATGTATGTTGCATAAACTTATAAAGTTACAGTGGTGGTACAGGGATGATGCTTTCTGTCTGTGATCTGTGGCATTTTTTTTTCTGGGCTTTTGCCCCTTTTTGCAACAGGTGAATTGTGAATTTCACCAATTTTTCATTCAAGAAACATGGAAAATGGAAGGTATTCATTAAGAAAATGTGACTCTATTGTGAATATATATATATATAAACTTATAAACACCCTCCTTAGACAAACCAAATCAAACAACAGCAGCCTACCTCAAAAACAAAACCCAAGAACCACCAAACCAAAAGCCAAACCCCAAACTACCAGAAAACCTCCCTACCAAGCAAGAACAACATAAAAGCCTCCTACACGATGTGCATTAATAGAAGCAAGCTGTGAGCTCTGATGAAGGGAGTACCTTGTGCTGAAGTCTTCCCTGTTTGTGGAAAATGGTGGTGCTGTGATGAACTGTCAGTTTGGTGAAGTAAAAGGTCTTTGTCTCCAGTTTTCAGGGGACATGTGTGTCAGGGAGACAGGGTATTAATTTTGCTATGAAAACTGTTTACCTGTGGAGATAACTTTGTGTAGTAGATCTGTTTAATCTGAGATTTAGCACACTAACTTTCTTTTCAGTACAGCCTGTCAGATGAGATTCTCTGCTTTTCTTTGGCATCATCCATTTTTTTGTCTAAAGCTGTGCTTTTAGCTCTCTTGGCATTTGAGAACTTTTTCCAGCTCTGCTGCAAGGCTGACTCTGGCTGAAAGAACTCCTTCTGCTATTTCCTAATACAGAATTGATGTGAAAACACCGTTACTTGTGATTTTTATCTTAAGGTTAAGTGACAGCAATGCAAACAGCAAAAGCAACTTTTTTATTTCGGCAAACTTGTTTTATTGTTTTACATTAGGGCAACTTTAGGGAGTTTCTGGTGTGTTCCTGTGTGATGAATCTTTGGGAAACCCTCAGCCTCATTCTTTATTTAGACAGGTTGACTCTTACAGTGCAGTATTTTTTCCAATAATGGTAGATACTGTAGGAAGGGATCTTCGTGGCTTGCTGGGTTGTCGGTTTGTATATTCTACTTACCAAAGGTTTGTATCTCCAGAGAGGTGAACACCTAACATCTATGTTGAGCAGCAGAGCTTTCCTGCTACTTTGCTGTTTTGATATTATTTGGAGAATTGGTGCACAGTACTTTGGATTATCATGTTTCTTGCATCCCTTTTCAGCTGCTGTGTCAAGGCTATGTCTTTCAGTGTAGCCTAACTGCTTCTGTCTTCATGCGTTGCATAAACTTTTGTGTCGTTACAGTGGTATGAAAGCAATTAGTTTAGTACTTTTTGAAAATTCCTGCGTAATGAGTAAGGTGTTGAAGTATCTGAAGGGATGGGTTGTAATAGAAATTCATTTGACCCATGTAAGGGTCAGTAGAATCTCCATTTCTGCTCAGGTGGTTAAGTCTTTGACCCTGCGACTTAAATGGCAGATTTGATGGTAGTGTAATTTATTAGATGTCTGTGAGCAGGGAATGCCAATTTGAGCTTGCAGTTCTGGGAAACAAAGTGGCATTAAGACACTTTCCTGTCCAATGAGTCTGTGTAGCATTTTTTGTGTTAATTTACTGCTCCTTCTATCTTTTGAAATGAGCATGTGTCCATGTCAACTTCGGCTCTGGTCCCCACAAAATACTGTATATACATACAGCTGTGTTATTTTGAAAGTCTCGGAAAAAAGACCTGTTGCAATATAATTTCTCATTTGAAGAAGCTTAACTTTAACTGACTGAATGTTTTGCATTTCAGACACAAAACTAATCATTATTGTGGAATGAATTTACTTTCTTGTTTAGTAGCTGTTGCTTTTACAATGCTGTTTCACAGTCAGCAGCAATTTAATCTCTGATTAACACACATACTGGCATCCACATAATTACTGTAACAGAGAATAGTTCTGAACCCTTCATGGTCGTGGACTGATTGCACTGTCACTAAGCAAATTTCTGTTTTAATAGATGCTGGTCATTGTCTTTCTTTAGGAATGAATTAATGCTCCTTTTATTTTTAAGCCACCGAATATTTATAGTATACAAAGAGTATTGGATGACCTATAACAATGTGATTTTGCTTTTGCTTTCCAGGTATGAATGCCGCTGTGCGTGCAGTAGTACGCATGGGAATCTACGTAAAAGCCAAAGTGTATTTTGTTTATGAGGTTAGTTTTTGTTTTATTCATTTTGTATTTTGTCTTCTGACTGTACTTGAGTTTTTGTGGAAACATCACAGAGAGTAAATAGTATAAATTAAAAAATGTTGTAGATGCCGTTATCTTTCATCGTGTGTTTTATTTAGTACTTATTTTGGTGGATATTACTTGTCACAAGGTACATTCTAAAACTATTTAATTTAAAAGTAATTTTTTAATATATGGAATTCTTCATGTGCCACTAGAAGCTTGAAAATACTGAGAAAACTAGAGGTGGTTGTCACCCAGCAGTGAGCTACATATCTGTGTACTTGTTAGGTGTTTGTCCCTGTATATTGTACTTCATAAATACTTTCCTAAACCTGGTAGAATTACTGATTTTTAACCCTTTGACTTTCCCCCAGTGCATTGTGCTAAGATACGATATAAGGATGTATCTATCATTACCCCCATTTCACAGATTGCACAACTTGGTTTTGGTCAAGAGTCCTGCCAGGCTGGTGCCATCTCTGCTGGCTAATAGGTAGAAAGTTGTGACTGAAAAAACTCAACCAACAAACAAAACCAAACCATTCAAAAACCTGAGCATGAGTAGTGTGTCCAGACATCAGAATTTTGTGGTTGAAGCTTGTGACTGCATGTGCATAAAGATTGATAACTTCTGTAACAATGATATGATAGGATATGAAGAAAACCGTGAGACAAGTTTAATATAAATGCCAAAGCAATACTCTCTGTGTATGTCTTACTGGAAGACTATGTTATATGTAGACTTTTGTATGAAGGACACTTCCAGTTTTTATAAGATTGGCAGATTAAAGAATACAGTAAATACATTTAGCAAGAAGTCATTCATTTCCTGCTGGAATTCCTGTACAGCAGCTTAGTAGCTTTGAGATTATTATAAATCATAAAAAATTGACATGGAGGAAAACCTGGTAGGCAATATTCCTAGTAAAGGGTAATTTTAATGTTTAATATAAAAATATGTAACACTAGCATTTGTACAAGTGCTAGGAAAATACTTTGAGTTTAGTTTTAGTTTTGTGCATGCAAAATATTTATCTTTAAAAGGTAGGTATTTATCCATTTTTCCCATGTCTGCTTATTCCTATAGCTCATTTTCTAATGAGATGCAAAGTATATTGAAATGCAGATAAGCAGAGGACTGTGCTCCAAAATTCTTTTGTACTACACTGCTACAGCAAGTTGCTCTGAATACTTAGTGTGTGCTAATTACATGGCCAATCTCTGGAATTCCTTCAGTGTTCAGCTGTTTTGCAGGCTTGCTGAAATGGGTCAGATACTTCTCTGGAAATAAGGAGGGTGTTTTGTCCGTCTTTAAAGCCAGAACTTGGATTTTAATTATTAAAAAAAATTAGTTTTACACAAGAAATTCCGTTTATGTCACCTTCTAAAAACTGTTTATCACAGAATGTAGTGATAAACTTCTAGAGGAATTTGAATGTTTCTGTTTCTCTGAACTTAGCAAAATCACACAATTGAAGTTGGCATGATCCTTTGCTAACTGCTTGACTTTGCCAGTGTCGAGTCACTATTTCTGAGTGAAAAGGGATTGTAAAAATCAAGTCAATGTTGGGAGTTTTGAGTTTCCATTATGTATTGTCATTCTGTCTTCAATGTAGCGATATGGTCTGGGAGAAAAATGCACATTTCACTGTAAGTATGGGTAATAGTTCTGAAAGAGATCTTTGCTTCTGGATTAGCTCATTCAGTTCAATGTTTCAAGAGGTACTGAACACTAAGCTTTGTTCTTCTCTGACTTTGTGTTAATTAAAGTATGAAGTCAGTTTTCTTTATCAATGCACACAACTGTTTCAGAGAAACTTGCTTACAAGCTTTGAAATGAAACAGCTATTTAATTTCACCCCTTTGAAATAAGAAACAGGTGAAGGTGACAAGTGTAGTGGAAGGTAAAAATCTTGGCATGAGTCTTGTTACTAATGTACCCTATTACAAGCCTTTGCATGATGTATAGAGAGGAGATGCATTTTTGTATGTACCTGAAGATATTTAATACTTTAATAAAGTGTTTCTTCTAAATTAGTTTATCGAATGCAGACTTGAGTGTGGTAAGCAATGAGAATAGTATATTTTAGCCTACATTTTGAGTAGACATTTTAACTAGGTACACATAGGTGAGGTTGAAACTGCTCTGAAAAGTGAAGGAGAAAAATGTTTTCTTATTTGGATCCACACATTGAGTTAAAGATCTCAGCCTTTTCAAGCTTACTGTGCTGTAGTTGTCATTTATTCTTTTTCTCCTGTAGCTTTGTCATAAGACCTTTTTTTTTCTTTTTACCCTATAAACCCATCTGTTTTCTACAGTTGTGGCCAGAACTAGCTCCATATTCTAGGTAAAACCGTAACTTTGTTTTCCTTCTGTTTCCTAACTCCATTTTGCTTCATTTTGTGATGAGGGAGAGATTACCGAGATAAACCAAAATTCATAATGGATAAGTAATTTTCTAGCCTTTTTTTAAGATGGACTTACTAATGCCTAAAGAAACAGTTACATACTGGAATTCATGAGCTATTTAATCATGCTTTGATTCCAAAAGGAAAAAAGCTCATGTGAAAATTAAACTAGAAAATAACTTACATAAAAACTGTAGTTCATTATATTTATGTATCATTTTATAGTGTATATAAACCCCTGTAATTCTATAGCTATAAAATAAAAAACCCTGAAGATCTTAATTCATTGAAGTAGGCACATTGCAAAATTTTGCTCTTAATTTGTGGAAGCAATGCTTACTGTGTACAGTTGTCCTAGTTTCATATTTTATACATATTGCCATCTTATAGTATCTAATTTTAGTATGTAAACAGTCTGTAGTCACCCTTCTTGACTAGCGTCACATTACTCCTGTCTACCCTAGTCTGAATTACAGTTTGAATACCCATGGGTTAATTTCACTCATGCTATGAAAATCTAGTAGATGGGAGCATGTGCAGAGTACCAGGCTGCTCTAGGAAGCTAGTTTAATTCTTTTTTTCACTAATCAGAAACTATTACAGTCAGTTTTTTGTGCTGTTTTTTTTTCTTTTTAATTGAGAATGGAAAAAAAAAGTGATGCCTCTCATTTCTGGCAACTCACTCTAGAAACAGATCTTAAATATTTATACAAATAACCTGCCCTTTTTCCAGGATTGAAGCACATAGTTCCCAGTGGATGCGTGCTCTTACTACTAAGCTATGGAGCTTTTAGATTCCTCATCTTGATTAAGAGTGTTTTTCTCAAGAACCCAGCATTGGAAATGCAATGGTACGGCAGTCATGGATTTATGTGAGGAAAACTTCGTGTCTTTTATGTGGTGGTTTGTGCTCTCAGTGACACTAGTATTTTGCGTTGTAAGCGTTAGCTAAAAAGTCTCAGTAAGTAAATGCAAATAACTGTTAAATACCCAAATGTCTTGCATGTCACACATCAGGAGATGGCTTGTTCCTTTCGGAAAGCTTTTGTCATTAGTTAGTTTAGACTGGAAGCAAGGGTTTGCTTGGTTTCTCTGAGAGAGAATTCAGTTTCTCTGCAGCTCTCTAACCAGGAGTTGCAGTTGTCCCCTGTATGTCTCCTGTGAACATTTGACCAACAGAGATTTCTTCTTGTTCATCTTTGAATATTCAGATTTTGGGTAAAGGAAGGACTAAACATAAAATGGGGTTGATGTTCATATACTGTGCTTGCTGTATTTTGGTAGCTTATTTTTCCCATTCTTGCCCCATAGTTCTAGTATCTTAGTACCCATGCTGCTATTTTTAGAATCTAAGTAAGAATTTAATTTTTTTAATGTTAATTGACAGACTCCCACCCTCTTTTATTAAGTTTCATATTAATATTCATATCTGCCAGTAATTCTTGGTAACCGTACAATTGTAACAGTGTTGAACTGTTTGTTAACTTATTTTTCCCATTCTTGCCCCATAGTTCTAGTATCTTAGTACCCATGCTGCTATTTTTAGAATCTAAGTAAGAATTTAATTTTTTTAATGTTAATTGACAGACTCCCACCCTCTTTTATTAAGTTTCATATTAATATTCATATCTGCCAGTAATTCTTGGTAACCGTACAATTGTAACAGTGTTGAACTGTTTGTTAACCTAGTGTGAGTTGAGTTAAATTTGGTAACCATACAGTTGTAACAGTGTTGAACTGTTTGTTAACCTAGTGTGAGTTAAATTCCACCTTTAAAATGGATCACCCAGTCCACATCAATGTTTAAATAACTAAAATAATAAGTGGAAATCATGATTAATACTGCAGTTATATTTAGTCATCCTTTATTTTCCCTAAACCAGAAAGCTGGTTTAATTCTATAGCTTGTATCTCTTAATTTAATGGAAAAACAGTGAGGAAATTATAACTACATTAGAGTCAGAGAATGACAGAGATTGGAAGAGACCCTTTAAATCATAGAGTCCAACTGTCCATTTAGCACTACCACTGTAACCCCTAAACTGTATCACCCAGCACCACGTCCAGACACCTCTTAAACACCTCCTTCAGGGATGGTGAATCCTCCACCTCTCCGTGCAGCCTCTTCCAATGCCTGACAATTGTTCAGCTAACTTACAGATACTACTTGGCAAGCAGAGCTGAGTTAGGAAAAGCTAATAGAACAGCTAAAGTAGATCAGGATTCCAGAAGCTCCCTGTCCTTACTTTGTAGTGGAAGGAATTGTTAATACATTCCGCATTCTCACTTGTCTGCTTGAATATGGTCTCCTGACTAAAATGCATGAATTATTTTTATGTTAAAGATGCACAGTGCAGGAGCTGGTCATAGCTTCTCCCTAACCTAGCTATAAGGTGTTTACAATCTTAGAGACAATTTCAAGTAGCAGTTTATTAATTTGCTTTCTTCTGTGTTTCAGATTTGTTAATATGTGAATTGGAGATTCCAATCCATGAATCTCGTGCATATATTTATGTATATATTTACTGTATATTATAGTTTCTTGGGTGCACTTTCTTTTCATTTTCCCTTCAAGTTAAAATGGAAGGTGAATCATTGGAGCATGTAGGTGAACTGTGTATATTCTTGTCAGCTTGTGATGCAGCTTGCCATAGTCAGTGTTATAAACTGAGTCAAGATGCAACATCACACTACTCTTTCAGGATTTGTTGCCGTGGATCTTTTTGTTGTTGTAGTTGTCAACAGCAATACCGATAGGAAAAGCTTTCACTCCATTACTGAATGATAAAAGGAACATTGGATTCTTTGCTTTTACAAAAAGCAAGCCAGCAAAGCTGTGATAAGTGAATTTAGTAATTTATTAGCCTTCATCAAGCTCAGTTGGATCTACTGTAATGTTTCTTTCTGAAGAAGAAATATTTCTTTCTGTGAACGATTTTTTTAAACTTTGATACGTAGATGAAGCATCATTCCTTTTCCAACTTGATCTAATTTGGAAGGAACTGTGTAAATGTCTTAGCTTCGAGTTATTATGTATATACATTAGCAGTATGTCCAGTATCTATGGGCCTACAAAGAAGCTGGAGAGAGTTGATTCATCAGGAACTGTAATTATAGAACAAGGAGTAGTGGGTTCAAATTGAAAGAGGGGAGATGTAGGTTAGTTATATGGAAGAAATTCTTCACCGTGAGAGCGGTGCCACTGAAGCAGGTTGCTCAGAGCAGTTGTGGGTGCCCCATCCCTTGCAGTGTTCAAGGCCAGGTTGGACAGGGCCCTGAGCAACCTGGTCTGGTGGGAAGTGTCCCTGCCTATGGCTGGGGGTTGGAAGTAGATGATCTTTAAGGTCTCTTCCAACTCAAGCCATCTTAGATGCATAGATTAGGTTTATGTTAAAAGTTACCAGAGAGTATACAAAATACTGAAAAGATCTGTTGAGTGACAGAAATTAGATACATTAGTAGTTTTCCACTTAGATGTTTTTTGCTATTATTTGATCATCTTATATGTTAATTAATCATTCAAGTTTCACTGAGCAGCAATCTTTATGATTTGCCCTTGGAATCTCTACTAGAATCATAGGAAGATTAATTTGACTAACTGTGTCCAGGTTCTCTTTATATTCTTGTCCTCTCATGCTAGTGAGGGGCTTAAGTTTGACTCAGTATTTATATAATATATGGCTTTTTAAGCCAGTGGATGCTTAGTATGTTTCCAAGTTACTGCTTACTGAAGAAAATCTACATATACCCTGAATCATGGCAGAGTAAAGTTCCCTAGTTTATAATGTCAATTTTGCTGTCTTCTGAACTCCTATTTCTAGTTCCCCTTGATTTCTTGAGAGCCCTAAAACTAAATATGTACAGTCTTGCAAGAACTGCGTAGAGGAAAAATGTTAACTAACTGTTCTTTGGTGTGTGGAATACGTACAGGTAATTAAAAATGGAGACATAAACATAGTCATGGTTATTTTTGTTAGTGTTCTTTGTTTGTTTTCTTTAACCTAGCATGTTTTTCCCCTTGGATTTAAATAAATGCCAAGAAGTAGAATGGTACTTACAGTTTTATTCTGGTGTTTTTGTCAGTTATGTTTTTTTAGATTAGAATTTCACAGTATGTTTTTTTTAAATCAATGTTTGCAGTGTCAGCTACTCTGTAATTGTCATTATCTTCCTGCTAGTATTTATGTAGAGAGGTCATAAAGCCAGGCCTGACAAAACCCTTCAGCTCACTGCATAGTTTTCCTTCTTTCAAAGAGATGTAGTTGTTTTTATATTACAGCATGCAGTAGTTTTTGAAGACCATTTGAGTTAAGGTATTGAGAATTTCCTAAATGCATCACTAAAACTTGTAGGTTTTTTTCTGTTCATCTATTTATTGTGTAACTGTCTCCAAAAAGGAAAAAAAAGGCTTTGTGACCCGATTTCTTCTTTGTTTATGAAAAACATTTGGTTGTTGCTCTTTATTTTGTTCTGTTTATACTGACCTTGGGGGGAAAAATGTGCAACATGTTACAAAGGTAGATATTTTTCCTAAGGTCATGATATCAGGCTGAGGTCATATTTTAAATGCTTTTCAAAGTTCTTTGTACTTTTGTAAAAAACCCTCAGTATTTATTCCTGAGAAAGCAGAAATAGCCATTTTAGTTTAACAGTTGTGTAATCTGTGTAGAGTATTATTTTATCTTGAAGTTGTCTTTGGATTTAATCTTTCAGGAAGAGGGTTTGATTTGCCTTTTTTCCCCCCATAAAAAAAGCAGTGATACCTGCTTTTGCATGTTGTTTCATTTAAATTGAGTATTTTTTTTTATTTGGTGTTTTTAATTACTTAAGGTGAGTATTATTGCAGTGGAAATATTACACATTTTTTCACATCAGAGTTCCGAAATACTTTTTCTCTTTCAGGGTTACCAGGGAATGGTTGATGGAGGTGATAATATTGTAGAAGTTTCATGGGAAAGCGTTTCAAGTATCCTGCAAGTGGTGAGTGTTAAGGAATTCTAGATCCAGGCAACTAGTGTAATGATGTATTTGTACTCTGTGATGACTGAGTGATCAGCACTTCGCACTTTGAGCAGAGCCTGATTTCTACAGTATAGATGTCTGACACTTCTCAAAGGTCTTGGTGTGGTCTTGTATTTGGTGCACAGAAATGAACTTGGAAACCTTTGTCCTAGATTTTCAACATTAAATGTCATTAACCTCCTAAAGCCATAGTGACAAGCCTGTATATAATAAAAAAGACAGATAAGGCTAAAACATGAAACAATTGTGTTTCATAAGGCAAATGTTTTCTTACAAAACCCTGTTGGCTTTCTGTGTCAGTGGATTTAGAATTATAGTAACGTGTAATTACAGTGCATTTCTCCGGAGCTTAGATAATACCAGTGACTGTACATTTTTATTACAATGTTCTACAGTGTGGCCATTTGGATCTCCTGAGCTTTTCCTCACCATGGTAATGTTACCTCTTCCAGAGCAGGTGCTGTGTTTGGCAAAGAGGCCTTACTGCTTGCCAGGCTTTCTTAAAGCTACCTCCAGGTGAAGCCTGTGTTTCTTTGGAACTTGCAGAGACAAAAATAGTTATTTTTTTTGAACAAGCCAATACCCTATCTTAGGGAATCCGTAATCATAGAACATCTCAAGTTGAAAGGGACCCGTAAAGATCATTGAGTCCTAAAACTAATCAATATGACTTAAGAGCATCATCCAGATGCATCTTATGATTAAGAGAAAATTGAGCTATCTTTGCCAAGCCCCACAAGAGCATAAGCAGGAGAAGGATGTAGATGTCCTATGCATATTTATAGCATACTTAGTATAAGAAAAACATCTTTCTGAGCTTGATTATTCATAATTCAACAGAGCAGCAGTGAAGCTGAGGACGTATTTTACAGAATGTTTAGTTGTTTTAGTTGGAAAAGTTTTTCAGCCCAATGTGTGTATATATATATATTTCTGTTTAGTCAGAACAAGTAGTACATTGTTTCAAATACATAGTTTGTGTTCCACTTAATTCTATCTTTAAGTGTGAAAATATCTAGTTCAGATACATTTTTCAGTCCTGATTTATTTATTTATTTATTTATTCATTTATAGAACATCTACTTTTTTGTCTGGATAAAGCTGAACTGCTTCTTTTCCATTTGTTTTTTTTCTTCCACTAGCAGCTATGCAACATAGATGGCAAACTGGTGCCTAGGACTGGCTTGAGAGCTGAAACACCTGTTGATATCTGTATGACAACAATACTGATATCTGTATGAAATCATATCAGTACAGTCTCTTCAGATTTGAAGCTCAAATTTAGATTGGCATGATTGATATAAGTCAAAGTGAAGGAAGTGTTTATGCAAAAGTGAGGGAATCTTCTTCAGATTTGTTTGCAGGAAAATAAAAGGGTTTGCAGAGTTGATTGAAATTACTTCTTACTGTGATAATAAATAAGGCAAAAATTAAACTTCTTGAGTGACTGAGGAACATAAACACAGAAGATGTGTAAATAGTGTGTTTTCAGCAAGATGCCCAGAAATTTCCAGTAACAGGGCACTTCACTCATCTTTGAAAGTAGTACCTGGAGTTTCTGCAGTTCTTTAAATTATATTAATAGATGCAGCAGATAATTAAGAAACCAGAATCTGATCTATAAGGCATTACATACAGTTATTTCCATAATTCTGTGGTATGACTGTAAATGCTCATTTTGAATTTCAGGCATACTATTGTTTATCTGTTTCAGTATATTAGGGGAAAAAATGTTGAAGCAAATTCATCTAAATACTTAACTGTTCAGTATATGACTTTTACTATTGTGATTACATATAGCAGCATTATTGGAATGCTGCTGAAATTAATACCAAATCATTTAATATTTTTCCTTCCAGAGCGGCTCTTTATCAGTAATTTTTGAGTTTTTTTCCTTTTTCCCCATATGTGCGTATCTGCTCTTGAAAACCTAAATTCCCACAGGTTTGATAACTTTGTTTATTGTTGCTTTTTACTTACTGTAAAAGAAAAGATGGATGCTGCAAAATGGATCATTAATCCATCTTAAAATAATGCAGTAGTACACTGGATTATAAGTTAAAACTGCCGTACTTGCTTTTTCTAGGGAGGTACAGTTATCGGTAGCGCGCGCTGCAAGTCGTTCCGTACGCGTGAGGGCCGTCTGCAGGCAGCCTGCAACTTGGTTCAGAGAGGGATCACCAATCTCTGTGTGATTGGCGGAGATGGCAGCTTAACTGGTGCCAATCTGTTCCGTGAAGAGTGGAATGGACTCCTGGAAGAGCTGGCACAGAATGGTAAGTTTGCCTTTAGACCCTCTAGGCTTCTGGTCCCATCTGCAGGGAAGTTATGTGCCCCAAGTATACCTGTGCAAACCATATCCAGAGGGTATTTCTCTAGTTCAAAAATCAAATGCATTCTTTCTAGGAAATAACACAATTCTTCATAAAATTGTGGTTTCTGGTTTCTGTACATCCTGTCATGCATACTGTAAAGGTTTAAAAAGGCCGAATAAGTTACTGGGCAACAGTCTGTGTGGCTTGTTTTCCTCTAATACGAACCATTTCTAGGATCTGAACCTTCTGCTTGAAAAGCACTTTGCCTTCATTTCCAGAGATGGTAATTCCTTTCCTACAACAATTACTAAATTATAATGCTTTCCTGCCTGTACGTTGCTATTTGTTTAAGATCAGACCATTAAGTGGCTGTTGATAAAAGCACATCCAGCCTAGTAGTTGTCTTTAATAGCACCCAAGCAAATGTATAGGGAAGAGTGAAAGAGCAAAATAATGCTGCGTTGATGCTATGTAATTCATAATATATAAATCCTCTGTTAGGTTCCATCCATTTCTGTCTTCAGGACTTCCTGAATCAGATGCTGTTAGCAGTCTTTAATAAATTTCTCTTCCATGAATGTATGCAGTCTACTTGAAAGCATAAAGAGTTTTGCTGAAAACATTATGTAGCAAGGAGTTCTGTCTGCAGCTTCACTGAATAATGAAGATTGTGAAGAATCTTCTTCTGTTTGGTTTGATCCTCCTGGCTTCTAGTATCATTTGATGTTCTATAATTTTCTGTGTTAGAACAGTGAATGATCAATCCTGCTTCCTCTCTGCATGCCACTTGAGATTTTACAGCTGTCTTATTTTCCCTTCATCATCTCTTTTTCTAGATGGAAGAGTCCTAGTTTGCTTAGTTGTTCCTTATATGTAAGTTCTATACCTTTGATCATCTTTGTTGCCCTTCTCTGAACCTTTTCCAGTTCTACCATGTCCTTTTTGAGGTGGGGAGGACCACAACTGCACCCAGTATTCAAGATGAGGGCAAACCATGGATCTACACAGTAGTATAATGATCTTTGTTTTGTTCTCTATTCTTTTCCTAATATTTTCTAATATTTTGATTTTATTTTTTTTTTACTGCTATTGAGCATTGAAGCTGATTTATTAATGAAAACAGCATTATTATATTATGCTGAAAATAGCATTATTTTGTCTGTGATGTTAGGGTACATTTTTCATGTGTCTTAGTTTACATTTATCTGCAATGACTTCCATCTGATACTTTACTGCTCACTGTGTCTTGCTAGTTTTCTTCATTTCTTCTCAGACACTCCATACTTTTAGAACCCAAATAATTCAGTTTGATCAGTAAACTTTGGCACCTTGCCACTCATTCCCTTTTCTAGGTTTTTGCTGAGTGTGTTGAACAGAGGCGATCCCTGTAGAACTCCATTGGTTACCTTCATCAGATACAAGAACTTGCATTTACGACTGCCCTGTCTCTTATTTTTTACCCTCTGTTTCACATTATTTACTCTATGAAAAGCCTTCTCTCTTACATGGTGACTACTTAGCTTCCTCAAAATCCTTTGGCAAAAGACCTTGTCAATGGCTTTTTGGAAATCTAAGTGTGATATGTTAGCCAGATATCCCTTATTGATGTATTAAGTCACCTTTGGAACTCTAGAAAAGGTTTGTAATGCACGGTATACATTCATAGAATACATTTTGATTCTTCTTCACAATGCTGTATTTATCTTCATGGACATGAGTTACATTTTTAATTATGGTCTCTACTGTTTTTCTCTAATACACTTTAAACACACTGATGCATAGTTCTTGAATCCCATATTAAAAATTTGGCATTATATTTACTACCATCCCATCCACAGATACTAAGGTAGATTTAAGCGCTGAAGCTGTTAAGGTATTTCATCCATGAGATCCTTTAGAGCTCTTGGATGACGCAGCATTTTCATTGATGTCTTGGGAGGCACAGCTAAGACTTAGAATAGGAGCCTTTCTGTTCTGTTTGCTTATTAATCATGAAATCAGAGCCTTTCAGTGTTGCAGAAGAGAAGTCTTCAAAAGTTTAATGCCGGTTTTGATTGATTACCTGTGCCCATAATCACGTCCAGTTTGCATCCTTTTACTCCTTGACTGCACGTTATACACGGACTACAATTTGAATTAAGTCCAAACTACCAATTTTAAGGTTGGTTACAAAACTTGATAAAATCTATTGACACTTTGACATGGACTGAAAAGCTCTTATTTCCTTCCTTACTGTAAGGAGTTCTATGCAGGATTCTTTTGTTTGGATGTTTGATTGGCTTTTGTTTGTAGTTTTGACTAACCTTGTTACTTAAAATATCTAAACATAATTTAATGTTTGGATATGTTTAATTTACAAAAGTAGAGCACCCAAGCAATATTTTTTTTTTTTTTAATAATCTTACAGCACTTCTTTGGATACTTCTTTACAGGAAAGATTGATGAAGAGGCTGTTAAGAAATATGCTTACCTTAACATTGTGGGAATGGTTGGATCCATAGACAATGACTTCTGTGGCACTGATATGACCATAGGTACTGACTCAGCTTTGCACAGAATAATTGAAGTGGTGGATGCCATCATGACCACGGCTCAAAGGTAAATTGTGCATATTATAGAGGTTGATAACAAATATACAGTTGTTTATGTTTTGATTTAAGTTCATTTTAAATAGAGGTTGCATAAGTGGGATTCGTAATATTTCTAGAGTGGGAATAAAAGTTCTTTTTACTGCATCTTTCAGACACACCTTGAATAGTATAAAATACCATCTGCATTGTTTCAGTAAAATTTAAGCAATTAAATGGTCAATGTTTTTAAACACAGCTATAGCGTTACAGTTCTTAACTAGGGGCCTGCATCATTTACATTTCCAGTAAATGTTCACCACTTCTCTCCTAGCTGCCCATATGTGTTTTAGAAGAAAGTAGTAGTGAAAATGAATTATGCATTGGAAAATACATAATTTTTAATACATTGTTTAATGTGACCTTCTGTTTTGCTAATGAATTCTGTTTGGTAAGCATGATAAACCCAGGCTGTTTCCTGATGAATTCTATGTTTGCTAAGCATGATAAACCCAGGCTGTTTCCTGATACAAAGTTCAGTTAATATTTTATTTTTATTTTTGCAGCCATCAGAGGACATTCGTTCTGGAGGTTATGGGGAGACACTGTGGGTATGTATTGTCTTCAGCATTTTGTTTCTCGTATGGACATAATTATGGAAGATGAAGAAATCTGAACCATAATGTCTAATCATTTGTTCTGTTTATTAGGTATCTAGCTCTGGTTAGTGCCTTAGCCTGTGGTGCAGATTGGGTGTTTATTCCTGAATACCCACCAGAAGAAGGCTGGGAAGATTCAATGTGTGTTAAGCTTTCAGAGGTAATTTATTAATATGCTTGAGATTCCCTGATATCTTTGCATATTTATTTGAAAGTAGTGATTTAAAAATGTGATCAAGACTTTGAGCAGCTCATCATTTTGGATGTCACACAAAGTTCTGTGTGCTCTTGGACAGTTCCTTTTCTGCATTCTGCAGTTGTTTTGAGGAATTACATGACCCGCTCTGGGAATGACACGAAACTATTCCTATATAAGCATCGTGTGTACCTTTCCTCAGGAACTTGTTGTAAGACATTTCACTTCGTGAACGAGAAGACCTTTATGAAAACAAAAAGTGTGAGAACACTTCAAATATGAACGATCAAATAGAAGAAATATTTCCTTAAATCCTAGCAGCTTAATGTAGAGCAATTGATTATAAAACTGTGCTGTAAATTCCTTTTGTTTCTTTAAAACTATATGGATGTACTTTTATTTTTATTATAGAACCGTGCCCGAAAGAAGAGGCTGAATATTATTATTGTAGCTGAAGGAGCTATTGATTGTCACAACAAACCTATAACATCAGAGAAGGTTAAGGATGTAAGTGTCAACATCCCTATGATACACACTTTGTGTCTTGTTCATAAGACGGGGCTTGTTGCTAGCAGTAACACTTCTGTGAAATAAATCTGTTCCTGTAAGGTAACTTATGACATAGTTTTATTTTATACTTGTGTTTTATTATCTGAATCCAAAGTCCACTTAAAGGGGAGTATTTTAGGAGCTGTTAGTTGGAAACTTTTCTCCTTGTAACATAACACAGCAGCTCCAAAGCATCTGATTTACGGGTGTCTTAAATGATAGAAAGTGAAATCAGCTCAAGTCAGTATTTATAATCCTGTTTTACTTTGTATTTCTTGTAAAATTTAAAAATTGGTCCATCTCACAGTGAAATAATGCTGTCTGCTTTGGACACTGTCTTGTCACTTATTTCTAAATGGTTGTTTTGTTAAAAATTCCATTTGGGCTAAGATTTACTCTGTTTTGCTTGTAAAGGGAGGGTCCCTTAAGTAGTTGGAAAATAGTCATTGGCAGAAAGGAGCTATAGTACATTGAGTTTGCCTGGAGTTTATCTGTCCTGTTTTGTTTTCTGTCACTATCAGTTTAAAGAAATCTTTTGACTCTTTATTCTGGACTGCAGTTTTACAGTGTAAAATTTAGCACCAAGCAGTGTTAAGTGCACGTAGAGCAGATAGCTAGTATGCATTTATAGAAGCAACACTACTTTCTTGCTAAAAATTTCAGCCAGTTAAAACATTAAAAAACTGTAAGTACCAGGGTTAAAAGATTGTGTAAATAACGTGAAAATTTCTTTCTGCTTTGTGGTGTTCATTTCTTGTTCCTAACCTTACATGCTCACTGAAGATATATTAATAAAGCATATCTTTTGGTAACTTTAACTTTGATATATAACAGAGAAAATGGAAAGATAGTGACTGAAGTGTTTTATTATCATAACTCTTAGTGCAAGTTTCAAAAGCCTTGTCAGTTAAGGTTAAAAGTCATCTTAACTAAAGTTTTACTCAGAATCTTTTGGGAGATGTAATCTTGCTCATAGTTGAAACATGAAGCAAATAAAACACTGTAATTGAAGTTCTCTCAAGTCTTACAATATTTAGGCCTGGTTTTGTAATTCTGCATAATGAAGCCATTGTAACTGTAGTCAAATCATTGCAATCTAAGCCACTGTTTTGCCATTACTAAGTAAAGTGTTCCTTTAGATTAGGAACCTGGAGTTTAGTTCTAGGTTAGGAATAAAATAAAGACAGACTTCTGCAGTGCTTTCATTATTGTATGTATATATACATACTGTACTAATGTCCAGTGTGTATAGAATTTTATGACTCCAATCGCAGGTAAAGCAGAGTAATGCTAACACGTGTATGTAGAATGATGAGGATGATAAACCCACTGTGTTCTGAAATTCTTTGCAGCTTGTGGTTCAGCGGCTTGGTTTTGACACCCGAGTAACTATCCTGGGTCACGTGCAAAGAGGTGGAACCCCTTCAGCTTTTGACAGAATTTTGGTGAGTGGACATAAAGTAATTACTCACAGCACCACACAGTGCAACTACATTTTGATTATTTGTTTGGAGGTGGAGTGGTTCTTCACCTGATTAACTTCACAAATGAAATTACTATCTTACATGAACTGTCTGAATAGCTCAACAGAATAGTGAAGTACTTTGTGTAAAGGAGTCTGTGTGAAGATTAAAATGCAGAGTTGCAAGGGCATCCATGCTTAAGGGTATTAAACAGTCCAGCTTGCCAAGGAGTAGTTGGTTGCAGCTTGATTTACAGAGAAATCAGGACCATTTCTGTGATTGGAAGCCTTGTGCTTTTAAGTGCTTCCTTGAACACCTAAACATTATCTATTTCCAGGCAAGTCGTATGGGTGTGGAAGCTGTGCTTGCCCTTTTAGAAGCTACTCCAGCTACCCCTGCCTGTGTTGTGTCCCTGTCTGGAAACCAGGCTGTCCGTCTGCCTCTGATGGAGTGTGTGCAGATGGTGAGTTTCTGGCAAAAAGCTACTTTATCATTACTCATCTAACTACAACAAACTACCGTGTACTGTGATTCTGTTGGCATTAGGACGCAGATGATAATGTGTGCAGCACTTTTGCACATTTGGGAATGAATAATGAAGTTCATGTGTGTTCTCTGTTATTACATGCTTGCAAACTACCAGGGAGCAAGAAACATATATGTTATATATGTTTTAAGATTTCATCTCAGGTCTTTGTATATATCTTTTTCATTTGTTTTAAGATTTCATCTCAGGTCTTTGCTTTCTGTGGCTACAAGAAACTATTTAGAGGACTGCATCCAATTACACATCATACACAACAGTCAGGTTTCTGCACTAAAACTGTTCAGCTTAAACTGAACTGAAGAAAGAAAAGGCAAAACAGATGCATTGATTTCTTAGCCCCAGGAAGGTTTTTAGGTGTTTGTTTCTACTTTTTTCTTCTCCTGTACACTGTAATTTATGCTGTGATAGGAGGTAGCTAAGAAATTAATGAAACATTACTATTTCTTTTTTCACTGTACAAATATATTATTATATAGAATATATTAAATAATTAACTTCCTGTGGGTTTTTTTTAAACATACTAAGCAATCAGTTTGGTTTTTTTCAAGACTCAAGAAGTCCAGAAAGCCATGGATGAGGGAAGATTTCTTGAGGCTGTGAAGCTTCGTGGAAGGTATGGCCAATAACTTATATCAGTTTATTTACTCTAGAAAAGCTGAATTGCATTGCTTTTATGCTGGCACGTGACATTTTATTTTAAATATTTTGCTATCCATATGGTTTTATGTGTTTGGGAACAAGAGAGGAGACAGAAGAAGGAATAACTGAAAATGGAGTAACTGAAATTCTTACCTGCATAAAACCATGCAAAACAAAAGTGTTGTTCACAGCTGTATCTGACTGGTGACTGATACTAAGCTCATTAGTCACAAAGAGCTGCTGTGCTGTTTGGGCTGACTGGTAGCAACCATATGTTTGTTCATGTGGGATCTTGAGACCAATCCTGTGAGTTTGTTTGTTAGTAGTTTTCCAGCAGTAAGTGTTGGGGGCAAGCATTCTTCACTACCCCTGGGAGAGTGTTTTCTGTTTCAAGTCATTTGGTAATAAAATGCTTTATCGCCAATCTATGAAACTCATTTTCTAGCTGTATAGTTACTTCACATTTTATCACTATTATCTCACAGGATTGAGTATTTTTTAGTGTTCTTCCTTTCCAGTTTTTACAGTGTTTTGCATTTGTAATAACAGTAGTGCTAATATTTCATAGCAGGTTTTCCTTTAAGTTTTTGAAGAACTCAAGTGTTTCTATGAAATAGGGTTTTCCTTAAAGTTTCTGAAGAACTCAAGTGTTTCTATGAAATAACTATGAATTTCAAAATTTGCTGGTTTATTTACTTATTTATTTAGGAGCTTTGAGAACAACCTGAACACATACAAATTGCTGTCGCACAAAAAGCCAGATGCTGAGCTTCCAAAGGTGAGGGGTTCTTTGTGCAATTGATGCTTGCTTTTAGGGTAACTTAACAAATAGTATTTTTCTTCTTCTCGGTCCCACATCCTGCCTTACTCTCTTCAATCCTGTGCCATAGGGTAGTTTTTAAAATCAGTTCAATATTATAAAGAAAGATGCTTGCAACACACAACTTTATTCAAATAATAAGTAACATTTTTTAGAAGTGCAGTGCCATTGTAACAAGAAAAATTCCTTGTACATAATTTTTTCTGTCTTGGATGTATATCTGGTCCCAGTTGTTAGACTGTCTGGTCCTAATAGTTATTGTTTTGCCCTCTGTTCCTCACCAGGAAGAAAAGAAGGGTGATGTAGTCATGATTAAGACTCTAAAAGTTCTGAGATAAAGGAAGATTTTAATATTAAAAGAATTCCAGCCCTTCCATATGAAGGACAAACGCACTCAGGAACAAGTGTGAATCCAGGAATTCATGGGATGCAATAATGAAGACTGTGCAATTGGATTTATTAGGAAGCAGACAATAAGTTTTGAGTGCAAACAAATTTTAGATGGGATGTAAATGTTGAGTGCAAACAAATTTTAGATGGGATTTTTTTGTTTTCATTAAAGGTTTACTCGAACAATTCTGGGTTTGACCATAGTAGGCTGACTATGTCACCTTACTAGTTAATTCCTCTTTTAATTGTGGTTTGTGACCATTTGTTACATTAATTTGCATAATTGTGTTACTGTTACATTTTTTTAGAATTTTTTTTCCCAATTAAATGTTTGAGTTATGATTACTAGGATCTTCTCAATATTATTAAGAAGAAAAACTGCATTGAAGATAAAATAAGAACCTAAGATTGACCTTCAAGAGATTAAAGAATTCAGGGGTGTTTTTTTTGGTGGATATTCATCATTTTCCTTGCAGTATCAGGTGTTTGGATGCTGGGGTTTTTTCATATACCAAATCAGGTAAATGTAGGCAAATTTAGGATGGTTTGCTTTGGGCTTTTGTATTTTGTTTTAAAATCCTCTTGCCATGCATTCTTGTGATAAATGGCATTCGAAGGAGATGCAAGCTGTTTGTTATTAACTACTTGGATTTGACCACACCAACCATATCTGTGTCCTTCAATAAAAGAGGTTGAATGAGAATTAAAGTAACCATATCTGTGTCCTCCAATAAAAGAGGTTGAATGAGAATTAAAAAGTGGATGAAATATGCATGTTACAGGAACTGAGGAAAAAGCTGAGCTGATCAGATCAGTAGAGCCAGCTGAATGCTCTGCTTCAGTAGTGTTCTGCAGATATGGTATTTTGCTGCTTGTGTTTCCTTTGCATTTTTCTACAATCCTTGAGTTGCATCAGAGCTAAAAAATACTCCATATATATTCTGGTTTGGATCTCTTCTCTTTGTCCTTTAGTTTGGAGGTGTTGTTAGTTCTTGAATTTGCTTGTTTTGGTTATTTTTTGAGGGATTCCATGATCATTACTTGATAACTGGGTTATTTTGGTTTGTATTCTCATCTTCCAGGATAAAGCTAATAAGTTTATTCCACAATACCAAGTTGTTACAATTGTGCTATGTCAATAGTTGTAAACAATTTAGGGTCATCCTGGTGACCAATATGAATTTTAGTGTATAGGCTCAGGCTGTCAAGTTTTCTTGCATTTTGCTTGCACAATTTGCCATCATTTAAATTCTCTTTGCTAAATGAATACAGAACGGTTAAACTTTCCCAAAGTTCAGGCATGTAAAGTTTTAATTCTTGACTTATATTTTGGTCTTAGCATTCATTTCAATGCTGTAAAAATAATAAAATAAAAGCTAGTGCCTTTTTCATTCTTTGGTTATGGATTATATTTATATCTGTTGTAAATCAACACTTTCTGATGTCAGTGTAATGGTATTGATTTATATTAGCTACTGGTTTCTTAGTCAAAGAGAGTGGCCTGTGATACATCTGGAAATGGGCATTCCATTTCAAGGAATGAGTCATACACAGAAGATCTGCATTTCATGCTTTGCAGTTAAAATTTAATGCAAAGGTGCTTACTAGCATTTTACACCCAGTTGCACTCTTGCTTTATATACCAAAATATTTATTATTTCATGTCACGTTTTAAATAAAACCTTCTCTCTTACATTGCCTATGGTTTAAATTATAAGTTTATTTTTTTATTTTTCAGACTTTTCAGTTAGAGTAGATTGGCCACTTTCCTGGGATACTCAGTAACCTTGGGGAGACACACTATATAAGCAGTTACTTTGAGTTATGAAATGTTTTAAAAACTGCCATAGTCTGAAAACATTTGGTGTTGTGAAAGATGCTGAGTGCTCCTCTTTGTTACTATATTGTCAGCTGCTCAAAAGCCCGTGGCCAATAGCTTAATTATAAGGTAATTGTAAATGTTGTCTGTTCCACTCTACCTGGTACTGATGACAGACAAAAATGCTGTTGTGCTAGAATCAGTTCCTGCTCTTTTTGGTTTTGCTATTTTGGATGATTTTGAAAAAAACCAAAAACATAAAAGCCAGTATAATTTAACTTGCAAAACAAATGAAAACATGATAAAGTCTTACTTAAAAACATTCTTTTGTTTAAAACTGTCTCTGTGATGTTCTTCAGATGGGGAAATGTGTCTGTGTCTTCTAGTTAACTTTAGATTTTCAATGGGTTTAGGGGCTTTGAAATTTCCTTTCCTGCATTCCAATATTTAGCAGCTGTGTAGGGTGTGCAAATTCACCATGGTATAGAATTTAAAGTGCTTATTAAATACTATTTTTGTCTTGCAGACTAATTTTAATGTGGCAGTTTTAAATGTTGGTGCCCCTGCAGCTGGAATGAATGCTGCAGTAAGGGCTGCAGTGAGAGTTGGCATAACTGAAGGCCACAAAATGTTTGCTGTCATTGATGGATTTGAAGGTTTCTCTAGAGGGAAGGTCAGTATCACATCTGTGCTCTACCCAGTAGTATGTATCCCAACCCACACCACCACTTTTATGTTCTTAGAAAGTATATTCTGTGATAACTGTGATGGAAACTGATTCTCTAAGTTCTTTTATTTCATAAAGATGCATAACCCCCTAATTTTAACAGTATTTCTCAACTGTTCTAGTCTGTAGAGTCATTTATGCAGAGTATTACTAACCACACGCTGCAGAGCTACAAAATGAGTTCAGATTAATCCGTCCTACAAATTTTGGTCAATGTTAAGCATGTCATAGGTTTTCCACAGAAAACCAGAAGAATCTGTGATTCTGAACAAGGAGTTTTTTCATCTGTGTTCCTTAGCTACAAGAAACTTTGCAGTGGTGCTTGTTGAGGGAGGAGGATTTTTTTTCCCTTAGATGAGTTATATTCTCCTTCCTTTTCCCCTGTTTTAAATGTTGAGCATCAGTTGGTGTGCTGAAGAGAAACAGAATACAAAACTTAATATTTCTATGCCTACGTGGAGCCATAGGTCCTAAAACTAACTTGGAACACCTTGTTTTAGTTTTTTGTATCTCACATTCACTAGGAGAGGATGTGAAAATAGGATCAAGATAAAAAACAGGGAGGCAGCATTCATCATGGTCTGGAGGAGGACAGAAAAAGTAGAATGGAAAGGGATTGATAATTCAAGAGAAAATAAGTTAACCTCTCAATGTTTTCTTTGCCAAGTTCAGTTTTAGTGATGTCTGTGCCCAACAGCTTGTTACAATAGCTTTATATAAAGCAGTTCCTGGTGTTTGTTGCAGGTCAAGAGAAGTAATCAAGTAATTACTTAACAGCATCTTCTTTTTTTACTTTTGTTTCAAAGATAAAGGAAATCAGCTGGGGAGATGTTGGAGGCTGGACTGGTCAAGGAGGATCAATTCTTGGTACCAAACGGTAACGTCAATATTTTGTTAATTGATATGATGAATTCTAGTGTTTAATATAACCAGAGTATGATTCCAAGCTCTTTTCATTCCACTGAATGTTTTAAGTACTCAGTTTTTGTGGTTTTGGAGTGTTTTATTTCTTTTGGTTTTAATCATTATGTTCCACCTTGGGTATCATTATAGTACTGAACCAGCTCTGAAGAGAGAATGAAAATGGGAATCAGGACCTCAACTTAAAACTTTTTCTGGGGTCCTTGCACTGTAAAGGCTAGCAAACCTGTAGTTTCTTTGCAGCTGACATGATTCCTTACTGGCTATCTGGAACCAGTAAATCTGACATGATTTTCCTTACTGGTTTATTCATTTGTATGGATACGTACGTAAAACAAACTATTCTCGTCTGCTCAGTTTATAGTTTCAGCTTAGCAATTAGTTCTTGTTGCTGCAGAGTTTGTTGTAAAACAAACTATTCTCCTCTGCTCAGTTTATAGTTTCAGCTTAGTAATTAGTTCTTGTTGCTGCAGAGTTTGTAAACTGTTTTTATTTTTCTCTTGGTTTAATAATTCTAGTACTCTTCCTGCAAAGTATTTGGAGAAGATTGCTGACCAGATGCGCACGAACAACATAAGCGCCCTTATGGTTATTGGTGGATTTGAGGTACACTGAAATATCTGACTACATCTGAGTAGAGTAGAATTCCTAACAAAATTAATAGACTGGTTTAATTTTTACCCAATCTTCATGTAAGGTGCATTTGGTTCTAACTGTATTTGATGCACAACAGAAGTAGTGTTTAGGATCAGAAGGGTTGTCACTCACTGATTCTGTGGAAAGCTGACATTCAAGGCAGAGACTGGAACTGCTGAACAGGATGTGCTAAGCAGATAAACAAGGGTGAGATAGCATTATATTACAAGTTGCAGTCTATACTGTATCAACACTTAGAACACACTTTGAGAAGTTCTTGACTTTCAGTAGTAATGACACTGTGCTCCCTTATTTAAGCTACTCTTCTCACATAGTGCATTTCAAAATCCACAATTGATCTAGAGAAATAATTTTTTCTGTATTTCATATTTATGTTATTTTACAAAAATAATAAATTTTTGAAATCTTGATTCGGGAAAGTAAGTATTTTGCCAGCTCTTCCTAGATTAGATACTTAACTGCTTCTTGATAAGGAATTGATCTTTTTTTTTTTTCCCCCACACTGTTAGTCGTGACCCTAATTCAGGAATATTAGGATTGTTTTAAATGAGGGGTAACAGTACCTGAAGATTGGGGAACTAGTTTGTGTTGTCAAAAGCACTTTGTCTAAATGATATATTTCCTTGAAAATGAATGTTCTATTTATGGGTCTTTTTCAAATGTGTACCTGTTTTTAATGCTTTCTCTTTTGTGTCTGTGTTAGATTTTAGTGGTTGCTTAGTGCTCTGACTTGCTGAAGTGTGCTGTGGTAGAAATGGCTCCCCCTGTGGCCCTTCCCATTTTGTCACTCTAACTCTGCCCTTACTTCATTCATCCTCATTTTCACCCAATGCCTGTGCCCAACAGGCGTACCTTGGACTTCTGGAATTGTCAGCTGCCCGGGAGAAATATGATGAATTCTGTGTTCCAATGGTTATGGTTCCTGCAACTGTATCCAACAATGTACCGGGTTCAGATTTCAGCATTGGTGCAGATACTGCTCTGAACACTATAACTGATGTAAGTCTGCTCTGGTGTGTGCACCTACTAACAAAGCAGTTCTGGATAAAATTGACTCAGTTGGCTAGAACTGGATATTTTTATAGACCAGAACTTTGGAAATGTTATCTGGAAAACTATATCTGCTTGATACAGCCACATCCATGACACCTATTTAAAAAAAGAGAAGGTCTAGGATCCCAAATGCTTCCATTAGGTTTACTCTGAAACTACAGTGACCTGTAAATTTTTAAACTACAAAATAAGATGGCATCTGTCTGTTGTATGAGGAAGAAAGAAACCGAGAGCTGAGACTTGGCAATCATTTGATGCACTGTAGAGGGAAAAAATCCCTGTTATATGTAGAGTATCAGTGTACCTAGCTGTAACAAATACTGAGAGGAAAGTTTCTCTGTCCAGAAAGAGGTTCTTATTTATCTAACATCTTTACTTCTCTAAGAGAAGTAGAGGAGTTCTCTACTCCTCCCCTTTATCCTCTAGTAATAGGACTTAAATTTATTCTACTAGTAACAGATTTAACCAAAAGAGTTGAGATATATTATGAAGTATTTTTTTAAAAATCCAGTAACACAATATAAATTAAAATCTGAATGATAATCTGTGATGAGCAAAAACTTCCTTGAGTGTGAGAGAGCACCGGAGCAGGCTGCGTAGAGAAGGTGTGGAGTCTTCTTGGGAGATACTCCAAACCCACCTGGACACAGTTCTGTGTAATGTGCTGTAGGTGAAACTGCTTCAGCAGGGAGGTTAGACTAGATGATCTGCAGAGGTTCCTTCTGACCCCAACCATGCTGTGGTTCTCTCATTCTCTAATACTAGATCCAGTTGGACAGAAGGCATAATCAGTTGGACAAAAAAAGTTTCAAGTTGCTTTTGAAAATTAAATGACAGCTCTTCTATCACTTAGACGTATTTGAAATTTTTAAATATGATACTATTTTCAGAAATGTGAAGGATTTCTCAAACGTTATCAACTTCAAAAGCACTACCTTAGTTTTAAGGGTTTTAATTTTTTTTTTTTTTTTGCCTTAGTTTTAAGGGTTTTAATTTATTTATTTTTTTTTTATAATGCCATCATAAGTAATTTTATGTTCAGCAAAAAACCCTGTTCGGTTAGGAAATACCACTTTCATTAATTATTGCCTTGAACAAGACTGTAAGGTAACTGAAATTTCTTGAGCATATTCTTTATAGGCAACTTAGGTTATAAATGTTGATGTTATTTCCAGTTCTGGTAAATAAAAATATTGTTCCAAAATGATCACAAGCTAAGGTGAGTAAAATGATTGTGCATAACATCTACTTTTCTTCTTTTCTTATCTTCATAAGCTTCGTTAACCAAACTGACTTCTTTTTATAGGTTTTTATATGTAGAGGAGATGATATCATAGTCAGTCAGTCTGTGTCTCCTTGTTGCTGTGGTTTGCTTCATATTTAGGTTTCTAGATACCATTTGCCTTCATTAGATAATAAAGTGTTGTCCTTTCCGTATTTTCAATGATGTAGTAGAAAACTTTTTTGAAATGGTGTTTTTTGCTATTAGCTTCAATCTTGTTTTTGGCATTTCATTTTGCTTAGATTTTTCTCTAAATATGAAAAGTAATTTAGATTCAAGTTAAGTGGAAAATTATATTTTGGGATTTGTCTGGGAAGGAGCAGACTTTGGCGTTGGAGGAACAGTTCTTCTTGGTATCTTTTAAGATTTCTGCTCTGATTGAATATGGTTCACTAAAAGTGCCAGTGAAAAATACATCCATTCCTTCCTGTATCGTGCTTGGCTGAGGTTCAGGAGCAGCCATGCCCCTGTTGAGTGTGGCTGATAGGCTCTACGCACGTTACACGATTGACTGTGGTAAATCAAGGTAGACGATGGACATGAGTGTCCATTATAGCTAGTTAATTGCTAGTTTATATGTAGGGGTTTTTTATTCCTTTTACCACTGTTAGGTCAATAAATGCATCATAGTTTTCAATGCTCTCAGAGTAGTAGTGCCTCTTATGGACACCAAAATGTCATCACACTTAGTTTTTCTGTGGTACTGTTCTTGTGTGATCTTGACAACGTACAGTAAGGTAAGTATAATTCTGCTGGGTAATGAGGGAGGACTTGTTAGTGTTTGGCATTACTAGACATGTCAGTTTTCTAAACTTGTCAGGACAGGTAAATGGTACATTGAGACATTTGCAGATAAAGTGTGTTAAGATTCTGCATTTTAAAAGAAAAACAAGAAAAACCAGACCAACAGATACCTAACTTCTGGTGAGAGATTAAACAAGACTTCAGGAAGTCATAGACAGTGGATGGAGCATTTCTCAATAATTAGAATTTAGATTCTGTGACAGATTGTGACCCTCTTGAAATATTTTTTCAATTTTTGTTTTATAATATGGACTTTAATTAGTTGAATAGTTGAATTTGGTTTGTCTTTTGAATAGTGTTTTGAATTTATGATCTGTATTTTTCACTTCAGTGAGAACAAGTGTTAATGAAAATTTCAGTATAAAATACAGAGAAATCTGGATGTTTCTGTACCATGAAGAGGGTGTGCATCAGGCTTGTATGTATAGACAAGACAAAATAGGATTGCAGGATAAGAACAGGAACTTCAAGCTTTCTATGAAATGAAGCATCACTGAAATAACTACCATAATTAAAACAGCTGTATTCTCAACTTCAAATTGCTAGTTCAGTGAAATGAATACAATATTATTTTGGCTATCAGACCTCAGGAATGTGACAACCAAGAAGTATTAGTTGTTTTTTTTCTTACAGAACCATGAAGGATAGAAATTTCTTTATGAATGCAAGATGGATTACGTAATAGCAGTCAAAAAGAGACATTAGCAATACAATTTGCAGGTGGAACTGAAAAGCAGAAACATAATCTGTAATTAAGCAGCGTGAATTAAAAGTTCTTTCAGCAGCAGAACATGGAAAGAGATGAAAGGATCAAAATTTAATTTGAAAACAGAAGCTACTGATGGGCTAGAGGAAACTGATGAAAAGAGGGATAAACAAAAAAAAAAAAAAAAGAATATTCATTTGATTTAGGAGATGTAGAATTAAATGAGGAAATGAAAATAAAAAGATGCCAGCTAGAGAGAGAGAAAAATGGAACCTGAAAAAGGAAGATGCTAAAACTTGTTAATGTTTCTTTGACAATCTGCCTTGTCATCAAAGAGAAGGAGATACAGGCTGATAAATTGGGTTGGGGGGTGTGGGGGGAGAGCAAACAACTGCTGAGGAGCAAAGAAAGCCACAGCCAGATTGCCTTTGTGCAGTGATCATCATTTTCCTTTGAAGACACAGACTCCTGTACCCTCTCAGTAGCACATGTGGCTCCATGCTGCTCTGAACTAGGAAGCTGGAAATGAGCCTGTCCGAGTTAGCTAGCCATTGCCATTTTCATCTTCAGTCCTGGCAACAGCTGATGAGGAGCAAGGGCAGGAACTCCATTCCCTTCAATGGCCACTTGCATTTAGATCAGCGTGAAGTTAACAAACCACAGACCTTGCTTGACTGCATGTATTTTTATAAAGCATCCTTGATTATGGCAATACCCTTTTTAATGACATAAATCCAATAAAAGGGTGGGAAATGATTCAACCATTTTATTAACTTAGTGCAGTATCCTTCCATCATCTTAGTGTAGTAATTATTGTAAAAAAATAGTTGTATAGCAGTTCTTAAAACCATTGATCAGTTGTTTACCCTTTATAATTAAGCGACCCTATGTTGAAAGCATTTTCATATTTTGCTGCAGTGATGCGAAGACATTGCATATAATCATCTAATGCTCATGCTTGGTGAAGGTACAGTCTTTGGATATGTTGGCTGAAACCACTTGCATCAAATAAAATGGCAGTATTTAATGCAAGTAAAACATATCTTAACTGCATCTTAACATATCATAAATCAGACTAACAATTATGTTAGTTACTGCTCTAAATCTCCCTTCAACCTGGTTTTCCAGAAGTCTCAGTATAAAACTTTCTTGAGAAACTCATGTTTTGCAGAATTCCAGGAAGCCATGTGGTTTTGCTAAACTTTGTATGTCTTTATCTTTCAGTAGAAGTTCAAAGTAACCTGACTAAGCTGAGTTGGGCCAAGTGATTACTGAAATTTCCTCAGTGGAGTCTCATCCACTGAAAAGAACAAACTCCAGACAAAATCCCTGCATTTGTTGCTGCTGTGGCTATACTGCTGCTCAGCACTGTGGGTCTGAAAGTGCAGTATTTTTGGCTGTGTTTCAGCCTTAAACCAGAAGTGCATCCTACCACTGAGCTTATCTGAAGGTTGGATTTACAAAGTACGTGAGAAGAGAGAGATTATAGAAAGGCAGTTTGCACTTAATGCTCTTCCGCCGTGTGTGGATAGATATGTATGTATACATATGTGTGTATATATAGATGTATATGTATATATATATGTATATATATCCTGTTCTCACCCTGGACAGGATCTGGTCTATTGAGGACAAAAGCCTAGAGACAACTCTGACAGGGGATTTTTTTTTTCCCTGTCATGTTCTTTTCAGTTATTGCTTAAATCAGTCACTGTATAGGTATGTCTGGAGATAACTCAGTAGTTATCTAATTTTGATCTACAATAGTTTGCTTTTCTGAACTGATTTGATAAATTGAGAAGATGGGACTTCTGTGAACATTGGTCCTTTCTGGGAGAAGGAGATGAAGAAAAAGTAGAAATACTGTGTAATCAGCCTTTCATGTAGAGAGTCATTACATAGGCAGCTTGAAAAATTGCCACACATCATGAGAGATACTGATTAGTTTAGATGAGAAATAATTGGAATAATGTAACTAAAAAAATGTTTGCTGACTTAAGCCAGCTGCAAAATCTTAACCTTTATTTTGGCATGTACTAGGAACACCTAATCCTTTTGACATGATTATTTATTTTGTAGAGTTTGGAATCTTTCCAAGGACCTACAGCTGCTTTTGAAAGAATCCTTGAACTATACTTGCAAACTTTACTCATCCATGTGCACATGTTCCTGGATTTTTCTGGGCCTATATGCAGTCTGTGTGCATAGAGGCAGATGTGTGATGTTGATAGCATCTTTGAAGGCATGGGCAAAACTTTTTCTCCCTTTTCTTGGTGGAAATAGATGTGTGCCTTGATTTTATAGGATAACATAGTTTTTAAAAAAGCATCTTTAAGCATTTCCTTCAAGTTGTGATGGTTTTACTAGATAACTTTCTAAGCTCCTTAACATGTTTCAGACTTTGTTCTTTGAGCGGTTTCTTGTGGAATGATTTCCAGTCTAGCTTAATGCCATCCTTTTCTGCCCAGCTGCTTCAGGCCTCTGTGCCGTGCACACTTGACATTCAGTCTGCATTAACTTGTACTAACCTTCTGCATTTCCTCAGAGAGCATTGTGCCAATGCAACCCCAGTGCACTGTTGTGGTATGTACAGGATACTTCCCTTGTCTCACCAAATAATCTCACCAGTGTTGTTGACTTGGGCCAGTGGGCAGCCACATTTACCATCACATGCCAGGAGTCATTAGCAGAGCAATCCAAAGACAGGAATGTGTCACTCACACTTGTACCACTGCTTCAGGCCTATGAAAGTTGTCTGCAGCTCCACGAGGCACGTTCCCGCTTTGAGGAGTTTTGCGTACCTATCTGTGTGTTACCTGCTACTATTAGCAACAATGTGCCAGGCACAGACTTTAGCATTGGTGCTGACACTGCCTTGAATGCTATTGTGGAGGTAAGAATGCATATCTTTTAAAAGTTAAGATCATAAAGTGTGTAAGAGGAGGATACCTAATGATGTTGAAATGCCTGGTTTTCTAAGATAACTCGGTTACCGTATTTTTTTATGGTTTGTAGTTAAATTTTCCAAGACTGATTAAAGATAAACCTTACTAAAGTATTGTGTTGTATATTTAACTTTTTGGGTACTCTTGTTCTTCAAGACTGCATTGGTGCTTAGGGTGTTTGCTGTTACTGAGAATAAAATGTTTTGCTTGCTTTGATTTTGTTTTTATCTTAAGGTGAAAGAAGAAAGCATGTGTTTTATAAATAAATGCCCTATTTATTGCATGAACTATTGGCTCAGCTCAGTGCAGTAGAGCCTTTTAAGTACATGATTAACACTAAACACATGTATAATCTCATAGACTCCATTAGGCTTAACATCTGTTAAGTGTGTGTACATGCATGCATAGTATAAGCAGCCTGTCCCAGATGTTAACTAAACATTGTGATGCCAGAACTTGTTATGAATGAGTTCTGATTTCAGTCAGGACAGTCAGTTCTCTAGTTTGTCTGCCATAGCTTTTTTTCCCTTGGGTACAACTGTTGTATTAACTCTCTCAGTTCTTCACTATCCTGTTGACTCTGCTGGAGACATGGCAATGGGAACTGATCTGAGGTCTAATGCAAACAAGTGAGTTTGCTTTAGAACATCTCTGAGTTTTATCAAACCCCTCATTAGCAACCCATATAATTAATTATGAAGTAATTGGCCAAGAAAGACTAGAGATCTAGGGGTTTGAGAAATGCAGGTTTGTTTTCCTGCTGTAATACACTATTACTTACTTAAATAGAGTGAAAAATCTGCAGTAGCTAACTGGAAGAGCTGTGCTGGCATGCAGGGCAGCCTGGGCTTTGAGAGCTGCAGTGCAGGGTCCCTGGGGTGCAGATGTCCTAAGGTGTACTGTGGGTGCACTAACAGTATGTTCCTAGGCAGGACGTGGGACTTCAGCACTCCATGAGCTGCTCCCCCCTTAGCCCATCATTTGTAGAAGTAGGTAAATATGCTGATTGTGACTGACAGCACTTCTAATAGTGATGGACTATTAAGTGAAAACATGAAAACACAATGGGGCAACAAATGATCACACATAATGTGGCTTCCTCTTAATTGTTTTTGTTATTAATTGCAATTTGTACAGCTTTTAGTAATGCTCTCAGTGGAAAAAAGAGTGGTTGTGTCTATTGAATAATTATTTATGGTTAGGATGTTTAGTTTATGCTCACAGTAGAACACTGCTGATCTGGCAAAGTTTTGAATACCAGTAATTTTTTTAAGCTGGATCAGTTCATCTGAAAGCTCAACTAGCAATGGAATTCCAAGAGTCCACGTGCCTTCATGTTGAAGATGGCTGAAACCTGCAGCAGGCTTTTGAGGTTTGGCCTTTTTAGCCTATAGAGTAGTATATGAATTAATGATTTGTTAAAATCTGTGCTATTTTTGTATTTGGGTACTTCTGTCACAGTCATTCTGAGAAAGCAAGAATAATAGAAAGTTTGCAGTATGTCTCTTGTAGAGTCAAGGATAGAAACCTTTCTAAGTACATCTAAAATGGTTAGTCCTGTAAGCAACTGCTGAGCTATGTTGGAATGTAATTGGTTCAGTGCTGCACCTGTCACTGTTAAAAGTAATGGGAAATTTCATAAATTTGTTGCTGTTTACCACAGGCCAAAAGCCAGTGTTCTGCAAAAAGTCTTACGAAACAACATCTGGAAGGGGAAAGTGCTTGAGGACATTGTAAAATCCAAGACTGATGAAAAGAGCAATTTTGGGAAACTAGAAATTCAAAGTAGGCTTTTGTGATGTAGTTTGTTATGGAGATTCCTTTCTGCTTAGGATAACAGAATCTGTATTCTGAGTAAGCTAATGTGAATTCTTCACTTGTGTGTGTATACACATAACATGCATATATGCAAAGACACATGCAATTTCATTCATGCATATTTTATTTATAGCTTTTGCTACGTGGACCTAAATAAATGCATACACTGGTCTTAGTCTTACAGTGCATTAAACCATGTTATGTTAGAAGTTCTAGGGTTTTAAAAATAATTTTAATTTTTCTCATGTATCAATTAATTACTTGTTCTGTGGTCTGTTGGGTATATTTTTAAAGACCATATTGCTCACAATCTGAATTTCAGTTTCAAGTATTATTTTCAGTTAGCTGAGTGAAGGTCCTGGTTGTAAAAAAACTGTGAAACAGAAATACCTCAAATATTAGAGCATCTACAGTCACTCAGAAAATGAGTAAGGCATGGGGATTCTTTTAACATTATCATAATTCAGGTGTCAAGATGACAAATTTTCCAGGTATATCTATTTCCATTTTTACTAAACAAAACTGATGTTGGGACAGTATGTCTGTAGTGCCTTGGTTTCTGTGTTTTCCTAAGTTTCCTAGGTCTTGCCACACTGGAGATTATTTCCCAAGCCTCTTAGGCAGCTCCAATAAAAACTGGTGTTATTTGGTTTCGTGTAAGCAACAGATCTTGTACAGAACATTCCTTGTTCTGGTCAGAGTAAGTTGCAAGTGGAAATTGCTATCTTTTTATAGTAAGTATGTACCTATTAGTAAAAAAAATGAGAATATTTTAAAACCAGTAGTGCTTGAAAGAGTGATATTTATGTGGTTATCCTTATTGGAAAGTAAAAGATTGGGCAGTACATGCTCAAGGCTTACGAAGTCGTAACTGCTTCATCTGGTTGGGAATGCAGTGAATTTTAACATCAGGACTAAGAGAATATAAACTTGAGTAATGAAAAGAGTTAAAGCAAAGAAGAGAAATTTAGTCATGCCAGAATTTATTAAAAAGCTCAATTGTATCTATTTGTGTTAGACAGCTTATCACAACTGTTAATTCCATATACAAACCAAAATGAATTTTTGTTCTACTATTTGCAGGAAGCAAATAAGGGCTGATGGTAAAAATCCATTTTATTTTGGTTCTGGTTGATTCTGGTGTTCGGTGTATAATTCAAAATAATTATTTGGTAATTGCTGTAGCTAAATGGGTTATGCTATTTTGGAATTTTTAAAGATGTATTTTTCTATAAAGGCTTTATTTTCTTTCTTTTTACCAGTAAGTCACGCAAAGTTGCATGACATATGCAGCCATACAAATTCAGGCTTTTCTAATGTATACTTAGAATATCTTGTCTTTGCCTAGACCTGCGACCGCATCAAGCAGTCGGCCAGTGGTACCAAGCGCCGCGTGTTCATCATCGAGACCATGGGTGGCTATTGTGGTTACCTGGCCAACATGGGGGCCCTGGCAGCAGGAGCTGATGCTGCTTATATCTTTGAAGAGCAGTTTGATATTCGAGAGCTCCAGGTACACAGATCTGGAAACCTCTTACTCATTTTTAAGTAGATCCTAAAGTTGTACATGTGTATCACAATGTATATACTTGAAGCAGATGGCTCATGTAGGAAAAACACATGATCGTATTAACAGCTGCACTGGTCAGTAGTACTTCAATATAATACCAGTTCTTACATCACAGTATTACTGAAAAGAATGTAGACCCAGTTATTCTTGACACCAAGATCTATTAAATGACATGAGTTATTGTATTAGTCATCAGACTAGATTGTTTAATTTTTAGTTTTCTGATTGAAATTCAAAATAAATGAACAGACTTGGATAGTTTTAGAAGAAAACCAAAAATAGAGGGGAGAGGAATATTTTTTCGTGATGATAGTATAGTGTTAGAAGGCTGTTCAGGCCAGAAAGTAACAGTATGTCAGGTTTGTTAGATGCTGACTGATAGCACAGCTAGTCAGAGCATGTCTGGAGGTGTTACTAAAATAAAGACCTCAGGCTTTAAGGATTATGGATTAGGGTGTATTTACATACACAAGCTGATATGGAACTTGTCTGCTGTGAGGATTTTACACTTTGAGGTAGTTTGTTCTAGCTGCAGTAATGAACAAATGCAAAGCTAAACCAAGAGAAAAATCCTGAAAGGCACAGAGATGTGAATCAGAACTTAACCCTACTCATTTCTCAGTGGTATGTGCTAATCATGTCCTATATAGGAGTAGCAGCACAGCACTGTATCCTTGACAGGACTGGGATGAAGGGCAAACTCTGCTCTTCTGGGATAGTTTCTCTATTTTTATATATATCAAGCTTGGTGCTGTACAAGTATAGCATATAAAAACAAGTTGGTGTTGCTGTTAAAATCAGTTACTTGTGATCCAGAGGAAGATATTAGGTTTAACCAAAGACAGTTAGCCATACACAGTATGTTATTCTGGATCTCCAAAAACCTCCGTTATTTGAATTTGCCCATAATGTTTCATGCGAAATACTTGTCAAACTTTATCAGGAAATGTAGCCTTTAAAACAACTTTAATGAGTTTTGTGTGGCTCTTGAAACATACTTTTATTTTTTTCTAGGCTAATGTGGAACACTTGACTGAAAAAATGAAAACCAGTATCCAGCGTGGCCTAGTGCTGAGGTAGGCAAAAGTAGTTGTAATGTTTGGCATCAGTGATGCTGAGCACTTCCAGCCAGGTAGGCTGCTTTGCCACTTGGAATGATACTCCAAGTCTATATTCCTTGATTATTCTTAGTAAAACTGTTGCTCCAGAAGGCAATTCTGGGACCTGTCTGGAAGCTCAAGTCCAAACTTTCTTTTTTCTATGTAAATACATTTGCTCTGTAATATTTAGTCCTCTTTCCAGCCTGTTTTCTCATTGGGTTTGTCTTTTATTGTAGATTCTTTCTTACCAGAGGTGTAATGTGGAGCATAAATGTGTACATGTATAGTATGGCCTTTACTATAAAAATCTGATGTAGATTTAAGGAAATAACATAGAATAAGATGTATTTCAGAAATGAAAATATTTAAAATACATTGATTAGCATGTTTTAAAATTATACTATTGCAGACAGACTGAATCAGGCTGTAGCTTCTCTTTGAGCATTTATTTTCAGTTTGCCAAATAGTGGAGGGCAGAAAATGAAGACCACCATAAGCTGTATGAGGATACCATTATATTTAGGTTCTACTTACTATATGACTAGGGTGAAAAATACCCTCCAATATTGGTAAGGAACAGCTGAAGGTACTATTAATTATCCATGTCTTTATAAGTGGCAAAATGATGACCTTGGATGTCAATGACTATTTGGTTTAATGCAGTTTTTCCTCTGGGTAATGAATTTCTCAGACTTCAGATGTGCAGTTTTTTCAGTGCCTTATTCGACAGTGGATTCCGAGTGATGTTACCAGTAGTGCAGACTGCAAAATCATGATCATGTTACAGGGAAGTGTATGTGATCAGATGAAAAAATCCAAGCTAGAATTACTGGTATCAAGTAAATGGGAAAACACTTGTCATTCAATAGCTGTAAAGACATCCACTGCTTTATAAAAAATTTGCTAACTGTATCTAACCTTAATTGTTACAGAAATGAGAACTGCAATGAGAACTACACAACTGACTTCATTTATCAGCTGTATTCTGAAGAAGGAAAAGGAGTGTTTGACTGTCGAAAAAATGTGTTGGGCCACATGCAGCAGGTAAATATGACCTTAAAGTTACAGACAAGCCTAACTGTGTATGGCCAAAGAACATATACTGCTGAAGGATTTCTAACAAGTCTGATTCAGGATTAAAGAAAAAGGTGAATAATTTTTTTATAGATAACTCTGAAGTTTTTTTAGTTTTGGATTTTATTGCCATCTCTTTTGAAAAATCTAGGAAAAAATCCCACATTAAATTCTTAACAATTTTCCTTTTTATTCCTCTGTCTGTATTAATAATTTTTTTCTTATTACTGAAATACCTTCTTACAATACACTTACCTGCCCATCCATAATGTATCTATATTCTGAACCTTGGAAAAGGTATTTCATTAGCAAAATCTGTGCAGATGGATGTTTTTGTGGAAGAGAGCAGGAAGCTGCTCCTTCGGCCTCTGCACCTGTATCACTTCATCTCACTCTGCAGCTTGTTCGTGGGCAGAGAGGGAGTTTGTGATTTGGCTGCACTCACCACTGAGGTAGAGGAAGGGGAAACAGTGCCCTCCATTCAGCTAAGTGAGAAGTAGTATAGATCCCATGAGAATTCTACAGATGCTGAACACAAATAAATGCCTTAGATTGATTTATATGGTGGGGGTTTGGTTGATTTGTTTTTATCAGTGGGGGATGGAAATAAAAGATCAGGAAATAGAGTAATAATGCATGAGCAGAGATGACTGATGAAACAGATACAAATCCTGGTTTGGTAACTCAGCTAACCCACACTTCAATTTTAACACAGGGTGGAGCACCTTCACCGTTTGATAGAAATTTTGGGACAAAAATTTCGGCAAAAGCTATGCAGTGGATCTCCAAAAAGCTAAAAGAAACCTACCGAAAAGGTGCAGAAATTTGATGCAATCTCTTGTTACTGTCTTTGATTATCTGTCAGTATATAGGACTACTCCACTATGCAAACATGTGAATGTTTGTTAGTGAACATACTTCTTCTCCCCCCCTTGATGATGTTTTATTATTCAGTAGTGCCTTGCTGTGCTTCCTGCTGTACCAAGCCTTCCCCTCAAGTGAGGTCAATAATTCAAATAGCTGTTTTCTCATCTTTCTTAAAAAAAAAAGAATACGAATGTGATTGCAAGTTTTCATGTGTGAAGGAATTGATGCTTATATAGTTACATCTGTTCTTTTTGTTTCATGCTGCCTACATGGGAGACAGAAGGAGGTAATGTGTCTTATTTGGGAATTTTTGTAAAGCACCATTTCCTAAAATCTAATACAAAACTGGATGTTAAGATTCAGTCTTATTGTTGCTTAATTGCACTGTAATTTCATTGCTAATTATCACAGCTAAGCAAAACAAGTGAAGCTCTAACCCGATCAAAGCACTAATTGATGTTTTATCATCCATTAAATAATCAGTAACTGGAATGAAGCTACACTAAGCTTTTGGTTAAGTTTAATTACAGAAAAATGGTATTTGCCCTTACATATGTAAGAAAGATCCTGAATTACTTCCTTCTCTTCAGGAAAAATATTTGCCAATAACGATGACTCGGTCTGTTTGCTGGGAATGCGGAGACGTAACCTTGTTTTCCAACCCGTGGCTGAGCTCAAGACTGAAACAGACTTTGTGTACGTATTACACTGCTTACATGTTAAACACCTCAGCACAGCCTTCCTTTCACCACTGCAGACAAACACTGCCCTGCAGTGCTGACACAGTGTTTGCCTGATGTCTTACTCCCTCTGGCTTTGGCCTGCATTCAGCCATTGATTCACTGGGTTCACTTTATTTCCCCTTTATGCTTTCTCTTCATCCTCCTTGTACTCGCCAGTCTCTCCGTGTGAGTTCTGGGACTCTGCTGTGCTTTTAAATAACTTTTTAGTAACTGCCATTGCTCCAATGCCTAGAATTACTTCTGGTTCAGTTCAGTGGGGCAGGATTTTTGTCCCAAATCTGGTATTACGCTTGCCTATAAATAATATCTTCCAGTAGGATGTATTCATTCCTTCAGGATTCTGTCCTTCCTTCTCTGCATTTTGGGTCAGTGTTTACATCCCACCATAAAGGTTAATGTCTGAAGCTATTTATAAGGAAGGTGTTTGCCTTACCCCATGTGTATCACCTCCCTGTTTTCCCCACCAGACACAGGATTCCCAAGGAGCAGTGGTGGCTGAAGCTGCGACCTCTGATGAAGATCCTGGCCAAGTACAAGACTAGTTATGATGTGTCAGACTCAGGCCAGCTGGAGCATGTGGCCATGCACAGCCCAAAGGAAGTAGAGACCGGAGCCATCTAAACACATCACGGTTAGATTATTGTCATTAGATGCACATTGTGAGTAACAGTGCTTTAGAATCATTACAGCTTTGTTTTGTAACCTTTAAATTATTGTTCCAGCACTTTATGTGAAACAAGACATTCAGCTGTCATACAGATTTTGTCCTGTGTGTTATGTTTGAAAACAAACCCTAGCATCTAATGGAAAAGCACCAGTTACCAATACTGCCCTTTAACAAACAAGTGCAACACTGTTCTATGCACTCTGTAAGTTACTCATCTACTGCACTTTGTTTCAGAGTACTTACACCCCAAAAAGAAGTGTAGATGGCTAGCTTTGTGTTGATTTACAGGATGTGCTTAATATATCTGAAGTGAAATAAAGTACTGTTGCAATCAGATGGGGTATTCTACAAATTCTGTTCATCTGCATTTAAGCAAGTGGGGGAATAACACTTGGTGGTGAAGGATTCTCTATGCACACCTGTGAAGGAAAAAAGAAACTGTCCTTTTCCTTTCCTAACCCTGCAGGAAGTAGTCAGTCACAGCAGGACAAGTATTTCTCATTGCTTCTAGGCTAGGACTCAAAACAATTTCTCCTTGTATAGTATAGATAAAACTATTTCTTTGGGGGTGGTGAGAGGCATTAACAATTTCACATTCAGAAGAGTGGAACTTGGTCCTTGCTCCTTATTTCCTTTTTCTCAGAGCTTCTTTAAGACGTACTAAAATCACAAAAATGATGAAAAAGGTTAATGCTGATTTTTGAAATTAGACTGACAAACAAGCAGCCAAAAATGTTTCCTCATGCCAGCTTATATTAACTGGACCTTGACAGGAGTACTATAATAAATACTAGATCATGTCACATCAGAATATGACAGTGTTGCCCAAATTGGCAAGCTGAATTGAACTTAAAATAGATTGTACTCTGATTCATTAGGGATTTGCCCACTGCACTGCAATCACTATACACATTCAGCTTGACAGTACATTCCACCTCACTGTCACAGACATTTGGCTGTAGGTGGCTTATGTAAAGGAAGTTGGAATTGACACATCAAAGAATGAGACCTGTCAGTATCAGAGACAGTTCTTTATATACCCAACAGCAGACATGATTTCAAACAAACAGCATTTAAAACTAGAGTTTTACATATACAAAAGTACTTCATTTATATAGTATTCATATGCAGTTGGAGGAGTGAGTCTTCAGTAAAAGATTGTCTGTCTTTGCCATGCAGAGCATGTGATTCCTGTCAAATACTGTCGGGGTAGAGAATTTTTCACATTGTTACTTCAAGAAGGAAAGCTTTTAACTGATTTGCTGGACACTGTTAAGAACAGCAATGCTTCAGCTGGACCACAGCACTGTTAAAAGTTACTAAAAAAACTCCTAGTGATGTAATTACACAGATTTATGTCAGCATGGATGTGCAGCAGCAAGTCATCGTTTGACCCAGGAGGGATCTTTGGTGATATCTGCATTTTCTGGGCCAAGTACAGCTTGACCCCGAGTGCTCTTCCCAGCTGCAAGATACCTGAAAAAAACCCAAACCAAAACATGCAAAGTGGAAAGCTGCTGGATTCAGTTATCCACAGCACTGCTAGACAAATTAAAACTATTCCCTCGCAGATAAAATTGCCCTTTGATAGGGACAACTTGTTTGCATTTACAGCATCTGTTGATTTACAGTGGTTTTCCTGAGTCACCACAACCCTCTCTCCCTAACCCTGTACTCTGCAGTAGTGCAACTCTTAAGTCAGACACAGAATTCTACCTATGAATCTAAAAGAACCAGCTCATACACTGAGTGTGCTCTTGCTCCACAGTTTTTGGGCCCTGCAGCAGTAAGACAACCTCCTACCAGCTCAGAATACAGGACAGAGTTCCACCTGCTAAAATGCAGTAAGCAGGACATGATTAACATCTCTTTTTCTAGGTTACAAAAGGAAATAGTGAAAGTAGTATGAAGGGCCAAGGGAAGGAATCCAATAAATTACTATGACAACTTTCACAAACTCTTTTCTTCTTCAAATTAGGTTTTTGTCCTACTTTTCAAGTAAACACATATTCATAAAGTGAGCACAGGCTTACCTGTTTGATACATCAACCAGGTTGTCACTGCTGACAGCAAAAAGTTGTTCTCTGTGCAATTGCTTCATTTCATCTGAAATCCCATACAAGAAGTGATCCATTCCTAGGGAAAAGCAACAAAACAAAACCCCACATGGAACTTGTGCATTGGAATCTCAGTTACAGCCAAATGCAGGAATGAGTGCAAACTATGACAGGAATGTGTGCTAGAAGGCAAGAACAGAGACTGCCATGGGGCCATTGTTCTGAGAGAATACCTAACTGAAGCATCAAACCTTAGAACTGGCTGAGGTACTAAAGAGTTTTCTGTTTGGGGAAAAAAACCCCATTTGTATTCTGTTCAATGGATATAATTTTTCAAAAATCTGAACATAATGGTGGTCCAGGAAACCTAGACATAATTCCTTAAGTGTCTCAGTTCCATCCAACAATGTTTTAGCCAAACTGGATTTCATAAAGCTTCTACTTTGTGATTTATAACAACAAACTCTTAGAATCTGCAGTCAGTTGTGATACATGTGCAACACAAAGTCTGATCACCTTTTGGTACTGCACAGAAAAATCTACATACAAATGCTTTAATACTTTAGTTGGAATACTTTCCTACAGTATTTTAATATTAATTCTATGGGTCCTTGAACAACCAGACGAACTTCAAAATAATTACAGAAAAGCTGTTTTGTCAGGCAGATAATCATGGGGAGGGGAAAAGTGGCTTGGGAGGACTTCTGTCAACTAGTCCAACCTCCTGCCCAAGGCAGGGCTGAATTCCCAGCCAGGTAAGGTTGTTCAAGGCCTTTGCAGGGCTCAGTGACTGAAACAGCAGCATGGGACTGCTGTTCTCTCTGCACCAGCTCCCAGGCCTATGGAAAGTGCTCCTATTCAGCATTCCACTCGGTTTGCTGTCACTGTTATTATGTGTGTTCAAATGCCAAAGAATGTTTGTCATCACTCTTACCCAATGTGCAGGCACTGCACTTGTGTACCTAGCACCAATGACTTTTTAACTGCCCAGCCCAGAACCAGACTGTCAGCTAAAGTCAGCTTCACTTTGAGTTTTCTTGTTTAATTAGTTAGTGCTAATACAAGCACATTTTACAATAACACTTCTTGTACCAGGACAGTAATCCTTCAGCTTTCTTTGAATCAGAGGACCAGTACTTCTTTTTCTATTTGTCTGCATTTAATGCCCTTTCCAAAACCTAAAGTCATTTCCTCGATCTCCATCTCCAGCTGTGTGCACCTGACATCAAGGAGCAGTATGAGTACAAGAAACTCAGCAGACAGCCTGAAGGCATGTGGTGTTGCTGAAAGGGAGCAACAGGAACTGACTGCTTCGTTGAATCTGCAATTAGCTTACAACTTCCAAGTACAAATTTTATCATCTGACAGTTTAGCAAACTAACTCTTCTCTTTAGGCTTATAAATTAATAAGCAAATGCTGGCAATGCTGGTGAGAATATATACCTTTATCTGAAGGAGCTATTGGTGCATCCACAGCAGCAAAAACTGCTAGTTTAGCTTCATCGATATCTTGTTGTGTGAATTCTCCAGATTTGGCCCATTCAACTGCTTTTTCAAATGTCTTTAAGGTGGCTAATGAATTTGGATCTCTTAGAAGAAAAAGAAAAATTAGTTACTTAGTCTTACAAAATGAAAAACTGAAATTGCTGTGTTCTCAATAATTTACTATGCATCACACAAACATAAATAAACAGAGAAAAACAAATGATAAACTTCCTTTTCATGTACAAAAAGAGGCTTTGGGGTTGTTTGGTTTGGGGTTTTTTCCCCAGAAGAAAGTACTGTTATAAATCAGATTTAGAATTTTAGATACAGGTGCAGAAGATCAATTGGCCAAAAGAAGTTCCAAGACAGTGTGCAGAGAACATCTACCATAAAAGATGGTAAGGTAAGCCAGAACAACATACTATGAATTTGCTGCAGCAGCTCAGTAAGCACAACTGCCATTACTCTCCACACCAGTGGTATTTATGATATCCTCTATCTTCTCTAAGCTGCTTTTCCTGCTACACCTGTTTACCTGTCTGTAAAACAGATGCCACAGGTAAACAACTACTGGCAAGTTAGGGACTATGGCCACGAGAAGTCCTACCATGCTGAAGCTTCAGAGAGGCAAGGCTGCTCACATTTCAGTCAGGAATCCTGACCAAGCACTGTGCTAGGCTGCCTCTGGACTAGAAAAATGACTTAAGCCAGGATTCCAGCCACACTACATCTCTAGTGAGGATTACAACTACTCTTTAATACCTCCAGTTCAAATTTCATCCAAAACTGCTTTGGTAAGACCAAGGCCAAGTGACTGTTCTGGACTGGAGGGAAAAAAAAAAAAAAAAGGAGGAAAGGAAAGAGAAAGCAGTTCTAGCTCATCTCCAATGATTCCAGCCAGTCACTGAAGGACACTGTGTAACCTTAACGTACATGATCATTCTACTTCCTGGTCTCAATTTTAGAATAGTCTTGAATTCCCTTTTTTTAGGGCCTCTTCAATACAGGATGAAATAAGTGAAAGCAAGGAGGAGTTTATTAAGCAATTCATTAAGCAATTAATCTTATCAGCAGGGGCACTGAAGCACTTTCTTGTTATTCATCTTGAAAGATAGCTACAATTAAGTGAAATATAAGACACACAAGTGAAGTGCAGTCAGTGGACCCCCAGCCATGAGCAGCAAAGAACACACCCCCTGTTACCTGTAGGAGTAGAAAGTGAATATAAACACACCCCGTTACCTGTAGGAGTAGAAAGTGAATATGCCATTGTGGCTAAGTTTAGCACCTCCACCATAAGCCCCTCCTTTCTCTCTGATTTCTCTGTGTAGGAATTTAGCTGTCATCACCTGTGCAAGAATTCGAAGGCTGTAAAATGAAAGAAATACCAACAGCAAAGATGTTAAGTGAATTGGACAACAATATTCTCAACTCCCTCTAAAGCTCACCCAGATCCTCATTTGCAATGCACAGCTTCTTGTAATCTACAGCAGTAACTACAGCAATACTCAGTATTTAATAACAGCTGAATAATGTGACATGGGTGTAAAGGGGCACAGGTCTGGAATGTTCCTTGACTATTTCCATTTATTTCACTTTAATGAAGTATGAGAGCAGCTTCCTAACCTTTGTTACATGCAACAGGATTGTCAACTCAGGACATCTCCAAGTAAGCAGAGCTGCTTACTGGCAATTAGGGGATAGCAGCCCCTCATTACTTAACCTCAGCATTTACAGGGCATCTCTGTACCTTGCCATGTAACAGGTGCTCCATAAAGATTTTGTGACAAATGCACTGCAAATGATTGTTTATCAATACTCCATTTTCTGCAGTCAGCTCAACACTTTCAGTTTTGCTTTGTGCTATGCAGCAGAGAAGGTCCCTGATGTTCTGCTTCCCACCTTGCATAGTCTGCAGCTGTGAGGAACTGTTCCATTCCCCAATATAGTTCACTGGGAAGGGAAGTACAAAATGGGTCTTCATCTGACATGGTTTGAAAGTAGGATCCTAAGAGAAGAAAGCATTATTGTCACAGTTAGCAGATGAGAAAATTTATCCATGTAAGAACTCTCACTTTTTTGAGAGCTAGGAAATTCTGCCAAACACATACAGACACACAAATGCTAAAGCTGCCACTTAACCTACACTGCAACCAGTGATGTTTTGCTTGTGCCCATATCAGCAATCCAGTACACAGAACTGCCTTGGGAAACTGCAGTACAGGGACACCATACATCAGCTATCCATCCTTGCAGCCCAGCTTCTCAGCTCTGCAGGTTTTGTATCACTACCAAGGAGCTTGGATTTGGCCACAATTTACTTTCAAGTGTTCAGTACTCTCCACTTCTATATCCAATAAGTATATGGTCACCACTTTGTATTTCAGTCCATCCACTAAACTCTAGATGTCAAAAACTTACTCAGAAACTGTAACCCACATAAAAAAATAAACTATTTACAACAGCAGCTGCAGTATGAATTTATGCTCAAACATCCTCTGCAATAAACTCAATCCTTCTTTACAACCCCACTTCAAAACTTCCAGTCCTCTTCATGTCTCCAGGCCTTTGCAGACCTTGTTCCTTTACTTCTTTCATACATACACCTGGTTTGTGTGCTCACTGAAGCATGAGCAGAGCCTTACAGACCTCCAGTAGCTTCAATGCTGCATCTCCCTCACTGGCCAACAGGCAAACCTGTGGGCTGAGCTCTCCCTGCCTCCTCCTCAAAGGAAAGCACAGGCTATGCTCAGCTCCTTTCCTCTCCTGTAGCCAAATACAGATTTTTCACTTAATTGTCACTAATGCTCTTCTGTCAGGCATCATTCCCATTCCGAGGAATTTAAAGAGGAGATGTAGGAAAGAAAGGGACTAACCAGAAGTGATTAAGGTGGCTGATGGCTAGTTAAGGAAACAATCCAGTCAGAGTGGAACTGAAGAGCATGTGAAGTTTCAGAGCTGTGCTTCTATAGAACAGCTTAAGACAGACCATTAGTACCAGCCCTGTAATACCAATATCCCCAATGTACTTACATTAACTAGTTTCCTTGTGATCTGCAAACCAGTGACCATTTCATTTCCCACAGGTTTCACTTCTGAAGATTTCTACAAGAGACACAGTCCTCATATTAAAAGATGATGTAACAATTTACACCAATGCTACTCCAAATGCAACAACCCCTCACACTCAAACCTCTAAGACAATAATCAAACTGTGCCTTCACAAACGTAAGCAAGATACTCCTTGCAAGAGTCATTTGGCATTGAGAGACACCAAGACAGAGATTAAATAAGGCCCATAAAATTTCAGACTATCATTTCACTCATGAGTAAGGAACTGGGAGCTTATTCCAGTCTCATCAGAAATTAAGACAGATCTGCATATTGACAGAGCAAATCCTTTGTCAACTCTGTTGAATCAAGCACTTGTGTGCCAAATGTCCTGATAACAAAACAAATTCCTACACAACTGAGGAACTGCAAATCATGCCCTCTTTGCTTCTGGCCAACATTTCACGTAAAGCTCAGCTAAAAAGAAATTGCAGTTTTATGCAACAGGGAAAGGAAGAAATTCTTTTTCCACATCCCATGGCAAAGCAGTAACCTCAGGGCAAGGCTCACCTGCTGACTGACAGGATTTCTATTGCCTACTTGATAGCAGTGAAGAGATTTTCTGTGGCAAAACACAGAGCAGCTGATCACGGAGTTGACTCTTGCAAATTTCTTCAGGTATCTTTGTATGGACATAGTTTTTGAGTTCAAACAATTTTCTCCTGATTGCATAGGGGTCATGACATGATCTAGTCAACTGTACTTGTGGCCTAGTCTCAACTTACATAATTTCTCACCTCAATCACATGGGGACGAACAGGTTTTCTCTCTTTTTTACTTCTAGCTATGCCCTTTATAAATTTCTCTACTTCTTTAGATGCTTCTGATACTTGCTGAGGTGCTGCATTCACTGAACATCTGTCAAAAATACATACCAAGTTTTAAAATATGGTTTGGTGTTTTCAGGCAGTCCTTTATAATTTGTACCACTTTGTCTTTCTAACCATTCTCTATGAAATCATCAGAATGTTGGATCAGAGAGCTCTGGTACCATTATGACAGAAAAAAGCAAAATACTCATAATCCAGCATCTGATGTGCAAAATATCCACAAACAAGTCACAGTCCAACTGATTTTCTTTTGCTTGGCCTAAAACACCTTCAGACCAAAAGTTGAACAGTAGCTGTCAAACCATTTCTGTGCACAGGGCAGGACTACCTCAATTTTGCAAGTATCAATGCTGCAGAAAGAAACTAATGCCCTTTGTATCCTCTCTTTACAGGCAGCCCTACCACGGTTTTGAATGGTACAGATATTTTCATAATTTTATTTATCATTTCATGCTTTGTAAAACAAAATTTTGTGATTCATGTCTCTTCAAACAGATCCATTTTTGGAACTAATGCATCTGACACTACACACCTTAACATGTCATCTTTATTTTTTTCAATATATGCATAAAGCAGATTTCAGAATGTCACTACCTAAGAAAAAATTTCAAACCAAACTGTATCGCACTATTACAAGACAATGTAACAGTGCTTCTCTAATAGCACCTTTAAGGGAGAGGGGTGAGGGGAAGGCAGAATGTTGAGTATTTCTGTAAAACCCCACAGGCCATTTACTCACTTTGGGTACAAAATGAGCCATAGCTACCACTCTACAAGCAAGAAAAATTTACACTAACATTTGTACAGTTTTTCCACAGACCTCCTGTTTCACAAAACCCCAGTACACAATGAGGCACACAGAGACCATGGCCTCTCCCACCAAAATGCCCCTTTCCTTTGCAGCTGGAACTCACCTGATGTTGTCACTATTTAATAAATACTTCCTAATGCGTGGTAGCTTGCGTAGTATTGGTTTAATATCAGACATTTCTGCTATTCTCTTCATCAACTTCACCTGTGTGGGAAGGGAGGGCAGAAAGACTACAGATTAAGCCTACAAATTACCAATAGAGAGAATTAGCAAAAACCCAACACTTGGATGCCCAAGTTGAGGACTTGGGCCCTGCTGAAGAATATAATTAACTTTCCACCTGATCCATCCCACTGAACATTTCCTGCAGCTCTCCGGAAGGCGTAAGGTTTTTGCTGGCTCTAATAGAGGCATATAAATGCCCACAATCCGGAATGCCGTTCGACAGCTCCTGGGCAGTCTTCTTAACCAGCACTCTGAAATGTTCCTCCTCCTCAAATTTTGGGCTGAAAAAGAACAGAAGCAGGTCTCATGCAAAAAGACACCAATGAAATTTATTATACTGAATCATTCATCATCTCAAGTTCAACAAGGACCTTTTAAAGTGATGGCTGTCCATTTAATCCACTATATAGTCATGCAATTGATCCAATACTTAGGTTTAGAAAGACACTAAAGATTAAGTTATGAAAAGAAATCCCACAGGAGGATCTCTAGGAAGATGATGATGGTAGGAGAAAAAGTGAAAAAAGTGAACCCCAAAACAAATGCAAAGCACAAACAAACAAACCCAATGTACTGTACTTGTTAAATATTTCGCTCCACAAATGCATCATGTCTGGCAGATTTCTATCCAAGCACAGAGATGAAAAGAGCACACCCTGAAGGAAAAAATGAAAAACAACACAAAAAACCCCTTCACATAAGACAACCAAAGCAATGCCCCGAGAAATACACAATAACTTTTTCTGAGAGTGATGCAATGATGCCAACCTAATGCTACACATCACATCACCACTCCAATGCAGACTGTGCCACTAAAGTCAGAGCAGGTATGAAATGTGACTGTTCTTCACAAAAAGCAAGCCAGGCAATTCCTCAGTCTCTACTTTTCAACAGTAAGCAGCAGTTCAGAAACAAAATTTCTCTTTTTGTTCACAACAAGGACAAACAAAACCATCCTGGGATGTACCTTTCTGCAAAGGAGTCCCCCAAATTCAACTCCAGGATCCATGGGGAGCAGACCCCCAGCAAGTTTGAAAAAATCGTAAGAAATATTGCTACAAGTGTTATGCCCAACACTTAGAACTAATGAGCCTGCAGTGACATAACATGTTAACAGCAATCTCCATGTATAACACTACACCATTCTGTCCTCTACCCTCTGAGTCCAAAAGGCTTGGCAGCACTCAAAAATATGGTGACAGATGCTAGTGAAGGCAGTGTCTTAAACAGGACACCCACATCAAGCATTCCTCTTAAGACAAAATACTAAGTTACTGTAATTATCTAACTTATATCCTATAGAAAAGACAGAAAGGCATGAGTCCTTTTATGCAGTAAGTTTTCAGAGCCTCTGCCTGGAAGCCCTGGCTGACTCAACTATAGAGCTGTTATTGCAAGTGTAACAGCTGCGAGTTTATGATTCATTTACCTGTTCATACACATCCAGGTGTGAATCATCTGGAATGACATGTGGGCTAACAGACATCCCGCCAGTTTTTAGTTCTATTTTCTGGGCTTGTTCCCTGTAATCGAGGGCTCCACATCCCATTCTGTGAAAAACCAGAGATTTATTTCCATGTTCAGTGTATGCCAAAATCAGGACCAATATGGCATTTGCAAAGCAGGCTGTTTAGGACAATACTAATTTAGCAACTAAACAACTTGGGGAATTACCAAGCAAATACACTACTTCATGCCTTATAAAAGCTTTACATCAAGCTTTTCAATTAAAGCATTCTATTAATTTAAACTGGCGTATTAAAAAGTGTACTTCATGGGCAGGCTTGCTACCAACATCCATATAGAACTGCATTAGTAACATCAGATAAGGTGTTATCACCAATAAAAGAACATACTCCTCCCAGCCCAGGAGCACTCTGTGCTCCTCTTCCCCCTGTGATGGGGTCACTGTTTCTGTGACCACACAGTGAAACTGGACCAGGAGTCTATCCAACCAAAAACTTTAATTTCTGCTCGGATATTTTTCATTTATAGCAATTTCCAATCTGTTGATGTTCCACAACAAGTCAATGCTGAGAGTGACTGAGAAGGGGAAACGAGCTGGCAACTCTGTAGGGAAGAGGGAAGACCACTGTTTTTGCACGAAATCAACTTCTCAGCATTTCCCTTCTAGAGTAAGAACAGAAGCTGATATTATTAAAGGCAATATTATTTTGGCAAGCTGCACTACAGCCTGTTGCTGTAGCTTCTAAGAAAGTAAATGTCTCACTTTGTAATGACATTGCAGAAGAGTGGCACATATGGTTTGAGCTCCTCAGGAAGGGTGTTCAAGCTGGAAACAGCCCGGAAATACACCACCCCATTGGTTGGCTGTGCACAGTACTGGACAGGAACTTCATCAGCTAGGGAGAAAAAAAACCCCAAAAGCAAAGAATAACCAACAACTTCCTACCATAAACACACAAAAGCAAAACACATTCTTACAAGAACTTCCCATCAAGAGTAATTTTTTGTCGGCATTTCACAGCCACTTTCTGTTTAAACCACATGTCATACTGAATGCTGGACTGGAGGGATTTAATTGTTTCTGTCCATGGCAAAGTAATGGATACCTGAACAATCTGAAGACAGAATTCTGCTGGCAGAGGTCATATTTTAGACATAACATTCAAATAAAGGAAATGGTAATTTGGTTCAGAGCAATTCAAGCTTTTCACTCTCATTTTTGTCTTTGTCACTTTAAAAGTTGAGAAAAGCAGGTTCCTGCACTATACACTCCCTCTAAGCTAGGATATTAGAATATACACATTAGAATTTTCACAAAAAGGAGGTCATTTTTAGCATCAAAATTATAGTCTTGACACTTGCTGGTAATTTTTGCAGGCAAGTGCCTGTTAGGAATATACTACAGAACAGTATTTACCTGCAAGATTTTGACTGTAACAGAACTATAACGAAGCTGCAGTTTACCATTTCCTACCAATGCATGGGGCAGCCACTGGCAAAGCAGAGACAAACTTGCACTGAAGTTATGAGGAAAGACAATTATTGCCTTTTTTCTCCTAGGTCCTGTACATCATATTCTCTAAAGAATGGGTGGGGAGGGAGTGCACCAGCTGCCAATAGTGCTGCAACCTGGTAAGCCTTTGGAAAATGGGAAGACTGCTCAGGACCACTGAAGAATGCCACCCAGAGACTCTGGCTGCAGGGCAGGGAGGGAGTATGCCTGAGGTAGGGACATGGCATCAGGAGTGCTCCCACCAGCACTGGGGAGGGCAGAAGGTTGTTCCAGCTGAAAACAGCCCCATGTTGCCACTCAGAGGCAATGGCCTCTGCAGATCCACTGCAATCTGTCTGCTCAGACATGGTGGGCTGGAAGAAAAGGACCATAACTATGGAAAACACAGTGAGTACACATGCTTTGCAAGGACCAACAGCTTAGCAAGCAGTCAGGTAATAACCCAACAGTGCTGCTCTTTTGAGCATGAAATAGTGTTGACACCAACCTGTGAGTGTTGTCTCCAGCACAGTGAATGGGATTTTGGGCTCGATGTCAGACACTTTTAAAGCTGGGAGACATGAGGTATCCTGAGGTTTGCTTTGAAGAGCAATTAATTCCAAACCTAGTAAGGAGAGAATAGGAGTTTGTCATTTCCAGCTTTTAGTGAAAGTGCTGTCAAAACCTAAAACCTACTGAGGTGATGCAGATCAAAACACCACGAGTCTGATGTTTGGAATCTTCTACCTGCCATTCTTTCAAGCATTTTACTGAAGCAAATTCTGCAGACCATCATGTAACAGCAACAAACAGAACACTCTTTGTAAATTCTCCTTCCAATCCCCTCCTCACGTAACAGCAACAAACCGAACACTCTTCGTAAATTCTCCTTCCAATCCCCTCCTCACATCCTGTTTACAGTAACATGCAATTTAATCCCTGAAGAAGTGACACCTGCCAGTCTGTCCTGTCACCCAGGTCTGTGAACAGTGACCCAGACCTGGCAGGTAAGAAGCTTCTTTCTATAACCTATTCTCTCTAGTTCTTACTCAAGTGCTCTGTCAGTACACAGATACAGCTAAATCATTGTGATTAATTTCACATTTCAGCTTTTCAGAATCTATGTGGTCACCTCTAAGTATTCTCCAATTTATCTTCCTAAATGGAAAGCCTCCTCTGATTTTGTGGTCCCCTATCTCCTAACTAGCACCAAAGTTTCAGAATATTAGCACCACATTTTTAGAGGATTTCTGCAACTAGATCACTGCTTTCACAAAATAAGATGACTGCTCAAGGTTTCCAAGTCAAAGTTACTGCCCAGAATAAGGTAAACACATTACTTTTGTAGGTGGCTTTTTAAGCAGAAAATGTAAGAAATAAAATTACAAAATATAAGTTTCATAGGAGCATGGAGCAGACCTTGGCTTTTTAAGCAGAAAACGTAAGAAATAAAATTACAAAATGTAAGTTTCATAGGAGCATGGAGCAGACCTCATGCTCCTAAATAAACATCTTCAAGGTAAATGATAATTCTAAGTATCTGAAGGGAAGGTGTCAAGAGGATGGAGCCAGGCTCTTCTGGGTGGTACTGCACAACAGGACAAAAGGCAATTAGCAGAAACTGGTGCACAGAAAGTTCCACCTGAACATGAGAAAGAATTTCTTTACTGTGCAAGCAACTGTGCACTGGAACAGGTTGTCCAGAGAGGCTGTGGAGTCTCCCTCCCTCACTGGAGATATTCAAGAACCACCTGGGAGCAATCCTGTGCAATTGCTCAGTTACTTGAGTAGGGAGGTTGGACCAATGACCCACTGTGCTCCCCTTCAACCTCAGCCTTTCTGTGACTCTGTGAATTCATCTTCTATTTACTGTAAGTTAACACAGGAAATTGTTTTAAAATCCAGAGCTGCTTATTCTTTCCCTTCTGCCCCAACAGGCATTGCTCATCCTATTTTTGAGTGTCAAAACCACTGGAATATACCAACCATACATTGTAGTGTAAACACTGTGCTGCACATCCCTATAAACGAGTGTCAAAACCATTGGAATATACCAACCATACACTGTAGTATAAACACTGTGCTGCACATCCCTATAAACACATATACACAAACTTAGACTGAATAAATTAAAAATATCATGCCTCTCAGGAGAATGCTGCAGAGTGCCTGTGAATTTAAGATGTTCTACAGAACACCAGCTAAAAACCCGTGGTTTTAAGCAATTACCCAAATAAAAATATGAAAAAAGCAAGTTAACCTTTTTCAAATATTTGGGTTTTTTCTTCTTCAGAAAGGGCATTGACCTTTTTTTCCAGCTTTTCTGCTTCCATTTTTGCTTGTTTATCATGGTAGTCTTCCTCTGGACTCATTGTCAGAGTCAATCTGTGTGGATTATCCTGCAGAAATATATCCCAAACCAAAACATCACTAATTCTGAGGGCAACTTCCTTGTATCAGATTATTGCTTCATCAGCAATAGACAGAAACAATCTGTGCATCATTTGGCATTCATATTATTAAAAATATCATAAACATGCAGTCTGAACTCTTGATTTCATACAGAACAGTCTGCTGCCTGGGTGGGGAAGAGAGGCAGTTTACCACAACAACAAGCATGAACAAGAAATTTTAGTATAGAATCAGAATCCCTCAATGGCACACAGTACTCATTAGCTTAATTAAATCAAGGTTAAACAACTGTACATAACACTATAGAACAGCATGCCACAGGTTTTATCTGGAGAGTGTTCTAAGATGAGAAATTTCATTAAATGAAGGAGGGTTTCATTAAACACCTCTTTCAACCTGCCCAAGCTTGAGTGCACAGAGATCCCATATGATTCAAATGTGCATGCCTTATCCTGCTCAGAAATGCTTTACATCAGCCTTGCTGCCATAGAACTCCAGGTGTTATGCAAGTGTCACAACTGCTGTTGAATTCCTCTTTGTTTATATCACACTATGGAATTTTAATATCAAAATTACTCAAGCAGCTTCCATTTTACATAACACAGGGAGGCTAGTCAAAAGACAGTGACCTCAAAAACTGCACATTTCAAAGTAGAGTTTAAACAGCAACACCTGTCCTTGACAGCACTACCAATTACTTGGGACAATATAATCAGATTCTGTTTTATCAGTTTATCTCCCCCCATGCCTATGTGCAAAGACTGCAGAAACTTGACCAACTACAGAGATGAAGAGGGAAACACAAAGTTAGCCAGCCACAGTAAAATGGATTGGATGAACAGCATTGTCTCTCTCCCTTGCTCCCTGCTTTAGTGATTTCCTGGCACAAGGCCTCTCTCCCTTGCTCCCTGCCTGCCTGCTTTAGTGATTTCCTGGCACAAGGTACAACAGTGCATTATCTTCTGATATAAGAACATCCAACTATTCTCATCACTTCCTACTGCATCATGGTTTTGGCTCAGCCTCCTCAGCAGAACCACACAGTGAAGCACATTCTCAAAAATACTGCATCTCTATTTCTTCCCTACAAAAGCCAAAACATTAACAGCTCCATACTACTTCCAGACACTAAAGATACCTTTAGCAAAACTGATTTCAACTGATGCCACTGTCTCTTCTTTCCTTTGAGCATGTGAGAACCGACATTTACTCAAATCAGGTCGACAGTTACCTATAATAATAGATCTGCCCTTCAGAACAACTTAAACAATTTGACTAGGAAAAAACCAAAAGCAACAAAACCAAAAAGCCACCAACAAAACAAAAAACCCAAACCATTTTTGCATTGCTATCACTGGATTTTTTATTTCTGTCATTAGCTCATTCAGGGCTTCAGAAATATTCAGTGTTATAATGCCTTTACTGGTTTCATTTCTGCAAGAAGTCCAGGAGAACATATGGAGAGGTAAACAAGAAAAAGACCGGAAAGTAACTGGCACTGAGAGCAAAATTTAGACAGCAGTTCAATGAACACGAAGAACACCAAAACTATCTTACTCATAACCAAATCCTTTTCAAGGAAAAAGAGATACACCTTGCTATGTCAATACAAAGGACACGTAACTACGTCTGTAATTCTCTGCTCACATTTGATCTTCTCATCAGGAAACGTGTGCCCTTCTATAGCATCAGGCACCACAGTTTGATAAAACATCAGCATTTCATCAATGTTCTATTAAGTGTGTTTCCAAATGACCAAATTAACATCCTTCACTCAGAAGTGCTGCTGTTCATCTACTCCTAGAAATAGGCAGTATGGTGATAAAAACAGCCTTCAGTTTAAACATAAAACTGTGATTAATATTGAAGATGACTTTCCAGAACTTTGCCTACCTTAAAATATGTTTTAACCTTTTCCTGAAGAAACATGGGATTTTCTTTAAGGCACTCCCTGAACCGAGAGACTTTATCGGCAATCTTCAGAAGCTCCACTGGATCTCCATCTTGATTCCAGCATGAAGCTATATACTGAATGAGAAAGAATAATTAGGTAAGCTGGAAAATTCTTCTGCATTTCTTTAACTGACATCATCTGTGTTCCAAAACCACCATATCATTTATATTTGAATAGTAAACATAGAATGAGTAGTTCCAATGCATTTGGAGGGGGAGGAAAAAAGCTGAAATCTTTGTTCAGATTAAAGGACTAATCCATCATCATCAGTTCCCTGTTCTCTCCATTCTTGCAGCAAATTTTATCATGCCAAACCACCACAGTTAAAAATTCTTTTTAATATATGTGTATATCTGTATTCTCAAAAATATATTGTAATATTCTTTCTTCCCTCACATTTAAAGTAATTTTTTTTCAGCTCCAGAAGGAAAAAAAACAAACAGGTGGTAGAGTCAAAGATGTACACATATATTACAGTCTACCCATTGATATGTCAGATGAAATTATTCATAATAAGGTAACTCAAACATGCAAAACAGATGGGACTTTGGAGAGAGAAGACACTAAATAACCAGAAATATTCACAGGACATTTCTTTTGGAAAGTTTCTTATTCTAGTTTTATTCTCTAATTTGAGACTAATAAGTTTGCTCAAGTTGCCATGGAAAGTTCTTCAACTACACCACAGGGCAAGATACCAAAAGCTTCTCCATTTCTACTCTGTATGAATGGGGAAAAAAGGAAAACAAAGCAAAATATAAAAATCCCAAGACATATGAAAGAAAAAACCTTTAAAAGCACATAGAGAACAAATGTATCATAATTGTCAAAACCACCTTCTCTTTTCTTACCTCTTTAATTACAAAGCAGGTATCATAAGCTTTCAGTCTTTCCAAGTGTGCTGGTTTGAAAGCAAACCAGTGAGAGACTCCACGTCAGAAATACGATTTAATTGGAAAAACAAAAATACAAATGCAACAGTACAAAAAGAAACCACTGACAGAGTCAGAAAGCAACCTGACACCCTGTCAGTCAGGCTGTTGGTAGTAGTGCAATTAAATGGTGGCTGCATCCTCCTGGAGTGATGGGTCTGTTGGAGCAGTGATCCTGTACATCTGCTCTTCACCTGAAGGTCCAGTGGTAGCTCTTGTCCTCTGGGAATCCAGCAGGCAAAGGGCTCTGTGCTGGTCCAAACCCCAGCTGATATCCCTGTGGGAATGCTTGGCTCCCCCCCTTGGGGTGAAGCATCTCCAAATGGGTCGATGTAATTCTCTGGGTCATGCCTGGGGCCCTGACTGACCATTAAACAGAGACAGCCCCTGAGAGAGTTATCAGGGATGAGTAGGAGATAACAAGCACTGCCCCACCTGCTTTAACAGCTTCTGGAGACCATTGGTCACAACCTAACCTAGGACACCAAGTAATAACTATTTTTCATCTATTCTGTGGAAATTCCCTAATGCGATTTAAAGAACAGTATTCTTTTAGAACATGCTTGAATTAATTCACTTGAAATAAAAGGAGTCACTTCATATTTAAAACTTCTGTGGGGTCATTACAACAAGTCAGTCCTGGTTCTCAGCAGGCAACCTAAAAGTTTAACCATGTATCTAAGAGCACTGTCCAAATGGTTTTTGAACACTGACATGCTTGGGGCCACGAGTACTTCCATGGTATCACAGTTTATCCCTGGCTGGCAGCTCAGCCCCATACAGCCACTCACTCACCACCCTCACACCACAATGTGGGAGGAGAATCAGAAGGGTGAAAGTGAGGAAATGTGGGCTGAGATGAACACAGTTTAACAGGTAAAGCAAAAGCTGTGCTCAAGTGAGCAAAACAAGGAATTCATACTCTGCTTCACATGGGCAGCCTCCTAGCTGATGGCCTGTGGTGAGAAGCAGAAAAGGCCTTGACACTGTGCCAGCCCTACTCAGCAGTAATGAACACATTCTTGTGTTACCAGCACTGTTTGCAGCACAAACACAAAGCACAGCACCAACCCAGCTACTACGAAGACTTAGTTCTATCCCAGCCAAAACAGCTACACTTAAGAGAGCTTGTTCCCCCACCATGGAGTATTAACACCAATTGTTGCTTGACCACCCTCTCCATGAAAAGCTTTTCCCTAATATCTGAACTGATGTTAACTTATCTTGACTTTTGTAAGACCTCTGAAAGTCCCACACAATACCCTCAATTGCTACACTGGAGAGAGACAAGTTTGATGGATAGACTATTCTACAGATAAGGACTCAGGTGGTTGGCCATATGCAGCTAGTTGCATTCAATGGCACAACATCCAAAGGGACCAGTAACAAGTGACTCTCAGAGGTCTGTATTGGGTCTGATACTATTCAATACCTTTATTCAGTAGCAAGTGACTCTCAGAGGTCTGTACTGGGTCTGATACTATTCAATACCTTTATTCATAACACAGCCAAAGGCACTGAGTACATGCTCAGCAGGTTTACAGATGACACCAAGGTGAGAGGTGCAGACAGCATGCTGGAGAGAAGAGATACCATACAGAGGACCTGGACAGGCTTGAGGAGTGGACCCACGTGAACCTCATGAAATTCATGAACGCCAAGTGCAAGGACCTGCACCTGGGCTAGGGCAATAACCAGTAACCAGCACAAGTTGGGTGACGAATGGTTTGAAAGCTGACCTGCAGAGAACGGCTTGCGGATAACGGTAGATGAGAAATCGGAAATGAGACCACAATGTGCATTTGCAGCCCAGGGAGCCTTTCGTATCCTGGGCTGAATCAAAAGAAGCACGGCCAGCAGGTCGAGGGAGGTGACTCTGCCCTTTCTACTCCACTTCCATGAGACCCCACCTGAAGTATTACATCCAGTTCTGGGGCACAGAGTACAAGACAGATATTGACCTGTTACAGCAGATCCAGAGGAGGACCACAGCAATGAGCCAGAACACCTCTCCTACAAAGACAGGCTGAGAGACTTAAGAGTTGTTCAGCCTGAAAAAGAGGAGACTTGAGAGAGATCTCACTGTGGCCTTTCAATATATAAAGGGGGCTTATAAGAAAGAGACTTTTTACCATGTTCTGTAATGACAGGACAAGGGGCAATGGTTTTAAACTGGAAGAGGGTAGATTTAGGTTGAACAAAAAGAAAAAATTCTTTACTATGAGGGTGAGACAGTGGGACAGGTTGTTCACAGAAACTGTGGATGTCCCATCCCTGCAAGAGTTCAAGGCCATGTTGGAACAGGCTTTGAATAACTGGATCTAGTGAACAATGCCCCTGCTCACAGCAAGGAGGGTGAACCTAGATGACTTTTAAAGGTCCCTTCCAATCCAAACCACTGTATGATCACTTTATTTATAACTAGGTCCCTTCCAGGCCCTCTTCAAAGTCAACTTCTAAAACACAACCTCAGGGAAAGAAACTGAAATATACTCCCCCACCATGGAGTATTAACACTAATTGTTGCAAGACTGGTCTTTAAAAGCAAGAAATTTTCAAGAGCTTTCTGTTCTAGAATTAATGCCTAACTGTTGAATCAACTTTAAGACTTAAAAATGTTGAAAGGAAGTATATGCATAAGTATTTCATCAGAATTACTCACACAGTCTGAAGACAAGCCACAAAGTACTGGCTATCAAAAGCACATTTTGCCAGATCTTACTCTGAAACATGACAGGCAACTAAATATCCATGATTTGGCTGTGTGGCAATCTGATTTGGAACAGCTTTTGGCTGTGCTCTCTCATTTACGAGTCTCATGTTAATCCAGGGCTCTGCTTCTTTAACAAACTGTATATGCCAGAGGAATGAACTCCTGTTCATGCTGAAGAATATGTATCACTTCAGAGACAGAAAGCAAAAGAGCCACTACACAACTGAAGCTGCTGCAGAGCAGAAGGAAACAGAACACTGGAGAATGAATGGCAGCAGGAGACCCTGATTTCCACACTGACTGCAAATAGTGTAGTTAACCCATTCCCAAACATAAGATGACTTGCAGACCTCTTAAAGACACTGCATTCTGCTGTGGAACATGTTTTCCATACGAGTTTTAGTACTAAAATTCAAAGTAGGCCCAGAACTGGTGTACATTTTCACTTGTGAATCTTGAAAATAAAGGAGTTTTAGTACCAAAATTCAAAGTAGGCCCAGAACTGGTATATATTTTCACTTGTGAATCTTGAAAATAAATTATAGTAGTACAATCCTAAACTCCATAGAAAAATACAGTCCTTCTATTTGGCTTTTAAAAATACACAGGCATCTAGTCAAAACATACAGTTGCCAGAGCCAGTACAGCATGTCCCTCACAGAATTAATCAGTGCTACTGCAACCAAAACTACTATTCAGACAGAGACAACAGGCTCACTGCCTGATCAAGTCATACAGCGAGGAGTCCAGAAATAGTCTGACAGCTACTGAGAAGAAAGAAGAAAGATGTACACGAGACAACAAATGAAAAGCCCTTAAGAGAAAAGTTTTATGACCTCTTATTTTATAAATATGTAGGCTATACATATATATTTTAATCCATTCTTAAAGAAACACCACACAATGGGAACACACACAGACTTACAGATGTCAGGGCAAGTCCAAAACTTGTAGACTGATGCTTCAACTGGATTTCAATTTTGTGAAGTAGAGCTTCAATCCTATCTTCCTCAAATCCTTTCCTTTGGGAGAGGGTGATGAGAGAAGGAAATAATATCCATTAACACTAATCACATTAAGTGAAGTTATGAAAATGAATTATAATATTGATAAAGGAAGCATTACAACATAATGTCTTCAACACTGAATTAAAAGTGATATGAAATAATCTCATGTTCTATTATTTAGTGAAACTGCATTAGTATCATTAAACTCCTGAAGTTTATGGTGATGACAATAAACTATAATAAAGGAAGCAGCAGATACAATTTTAAGAATATTGAACAATACTCCCGTGGATTTGGTGCCTTAATTTTATTATTAATGAATTTTTAAGGCATATTATATATGTCTGTATTATCATCTGCCTATACATTATTATACTATTAATAACCAAAAAAACTATAAGAACTAACAGTATTCTCAAAAATTTATCATTACTCACACAATAACTTCATCAACTGTTGTAGCAATGATCTGTTTCACAGTATCAATGTCTCCTTCAGCGATACCCTGTAGTCCCACACTGAAATAAGCTTCTCTTGTTGAGGCATTAAACCTAGAATAAAATATACCCAACTCAGGGACAAGTAGAACCTAAGCATTAAACCTGCCAACAAAGGCAGGAGAAGGGGAAAATCATCCAACATTTCCACATTTTACAAGCTAGATAGAAAGAAAAATAATCACGAAAGAGGCAAGAAACAGAACTTAAAAGCATTTTTTGTTCAATTTCAGTAGTAGTAGCCACTGTAAAGAAAACATATGGCACATGGTATTAGAGAAAGAAAAAGTTACAGAAGAAAAGCTGGTATTTTCTGTTCATCTTCCCTCTCCTTTTTAAGTACTTTCAAATAAAGAAGTCTCTCTTTTTTAAGGTGAAAATTTTAGCTGCATGTAACACCAAACACATACATTCTACTTAAGCAGGTGAGTGGAATGGTACTTTTACAGCAGTATTTGTACAGTAAGTGGTCAAAATGAAGTGTTCCATGTTTGCTGCAATTTTTATTATGGGAACTTGCAACAACAAAACAGTAAAGATAATTTCGTCCAAGCTGCCAGGCAGGGTTAATCATAAGAAACAAACTGACACTTGCAGGAATACAGAACACCTTCCAGTCTGAACCAAAGTCAACAAACAAAAAACAATAGGTGCTCATCAGCTTGTAAACAAACACTATTGCATGTCCAGAAAACAAAGAAGGAATTCAATGGCAGGCTCAGGCGTGGAATTCTGCAATACTGATCTCTGGACTCTAACTCATTCTTGGAGATTGATTCATCAGCACAGTCACTAAAGCATATTGAAGACAGCTCACTATATGGTTCAACCCCATATGAACACTGCCAACCTTGAAAAGGCTCAGCTGACAAAAAATACAACCTCATCACTAGTTGAGTGTCTAAAGATGGATTTCTACTGCTATGCTCTCGTATATTAAGATGTCTGCAAGGCATTGGCATGCATGACACAGGACTTGCAGGAAGCCAAGGACTTCACATAGAGACAGGTCAAGACAGGCAGAGTAAGACATTAAAATCATAGATGAGCGTAAGGTTTCCCATCTGAGAAAGTCATTGGAGAAAAAGGCATGCTTTTTGTCACCCTTGAGTCTAAAAATCGTTCAGATTAATCATTCCTGGAAAGTGCTGCTTTCTTTGTGCTGACAATAAAGGCAAAATGTGATGAGCAGCTGAGCCAGCAACGACAATCCACCCACCCTTAGCCTGCATTGCTAAGTGCACTCAGAAAACAAAGACTGCAAGAGCTACAGTCTGCGTAACTCTCGGCTGAAACACTTTTGCACTGAGGTGATGGCAAGTTAATGGCACCTAATTGCACAAAGGCACATTTTTGACAAACCCACCTACTACTAAATCATAGAATTAAAGCAAAAAACCAATGCAACACAGTACAGAGAAAAGCTAGCAAACACTTCTGAGTAATACTAAATGTCTAGGATGAACAACCCAAGTAAATTAGGACATTGTAGGCATGCCATGTTTTATCTACAAGTTTTTGTTGTTCCTAAGCTTTAAACAATACAATTTTGTTTAAAATAACTTAGCTTCTATCAAATTATTTTGACAAGTCAAAAATTACACTTGAGAAAGCTTCACAGTTTACCAGGAGAAACTCTTTAATAAGTTTTAATATTAAAATAAGACTATTCTGGTGTAAACTGCCTGCAAGAGAGATGAGTTCTCACAACTTAATAGTGGTTTTTAACTTTTCCGATATTGCTTATAGCCATGAAATGTAAATTTTAACACTTACCCAACATCTGGAGAAAAATCTGTACCAACACCAGACTCAATTAAGGCTTTGTAAAAAGGAGAATTCGGCCCATCAACCAACAGTGATGACAACAGGCTAAGTGTGAATGTTTCAAAAGTGTCTGTAATACTGAAGAAAAATTAATAGTTCTTAAAAACCATCAAGCTACGAATGTGACACCCAGCATGACCAAGTCCACTTCAGAATTACTTGTACAAAACAATGTAGAGAGAGCAAAGGAGAGGAGAAGTAATTATGAACACTGCACCAGATCTTAAGGAACTAAGAGAGCTCTGCATCTTTCACTTGTTCTAACTACCCATAAAACAAGTGAAACTGGGCTGCAAGGAGAGGTAAGTTAGCAGTAGGGTCATACAGAAAAGCTTGCATGTGGCAGAAAATTGAAAGAAAGACAGTGTTCTCAAATGTCTCATCCACAGAACAGTTCTGCAAATAACACCTGATTTTCCTTGTGTCTATCTGCTAAAGAAAAATCTGCTTAGCAATTAAATTTCCATTTACTAAAGAAGGATTTCACTAACTTTCCCATGGCATTATTTCCCCTTGAAGACAACATTTATCAAGAGGGACTGGGGGACATGAAACATGACTGCATCTTGCCTAAAGTTCTAAAATGAAACTTTGATTCAGAATTTCATTTTGATATACTTACTCTGTCAACAAGTAACTGACGCTGACAGTTGTCTGCTTGGAAGGATCAGCAGTAAATGTGTCTAAGCCACATGTTACACTATGTTCTCTCTGTAAAGTATAATAAATGATACAAACTAAACTTGGAACAGAAGTTACAAACAAACAGCAACAAAAAAACCAAAACATAAAAAACCCTTCACTGCTTGCATCTTCATAGCATTTTCTTTCCAAAGATTTAAAATAATTTTAGAGATACTGATGAGTAAGTTCAATATTCATGAGTAAATATACAAACACGGGGTATCCTGAAAACTATGCATGGTATCTTAACTTTTAAAATGGACAATAGAGGAGAAGTTGAAGAAAATCTGGCCATAATTAAAATTCTGAGCTGGGTTTCAAAGAAACACGAAGACTTCTGGACAAGCCAGGAAGGAAAAGCAGGCGGTGGGAGGGAGAGAATAGAAATAATTATTTTTGAGAACAATATTTGGAAGATTAGGTATGATTTAGGGCATATTTCCTGACACTAACTATCAGTATTTCTACCAGGAGCACCAAATACTTTCCATTAATAAGGGCTTCAGGCCTACAAATGACAACTTGAAAAGTGGAAGTACGAAAAATAAACAACTGCACCAATCATTACTGAAACTCAAAAGTAAATGAAGCTTCACCATGCTGTAATCAAAAGTAAAGATACTTCAGCTAATGAACACAATTCTAAGCAAAAGAGTAACTCCAGCAGGTTGGGTTAAAATACTGATACTCACTTTCTGCAATTCTATGACTAGATCATAGAATCATAGAATAGAATCACAGAATCAACTGGGTTGGAAGAGACCTCAAAGATCATCAAGTCCAACCCTACCAAGGTTAGTTGACCATGGCACTAAGTGCCACATCCAGTCTCATCTTGAAAACCTCCAGGGATGGTGAATCCACCACCTCCCCGGGCAGCACATTCCAATGTGCTGGTTTGAAAGCAAAGCAGTGAGAGACTCCAAGTCAGAAATACAATTTAATAGGAAAACCAAAACAATAAATGCAACAGTACAAAAAGAAACCACTGACAGAGTCAGAAAGCAACCTGACACCGTGTCAGTCAGAGTGCTGGTAGCAGTCCCATGAAATGGTGGCTGCATCCTCCTGGAGTGATGGGTCTGTTAGAGCAGGGATTGCGTAGATCTGCTCTTCACCCAAAGGTCCAGTGGTAGCTCTTGTCCACTGGGAATCCAGCAGGCAAAGGGCCCTGTGCTGGTCCAAACCCCAGCTTATATCCCTGTGGGAATGCTTGGCTCCCCCCCTTGGGGTGAAGCATCTCCAAATGGGACCATATAATTCTCTGGGTCATGCCTGGGGCCC